GGTCTATTTGCAAGGTTCAGTTACTAGCAGACTGATCCAAGGTTGTGTTGTCAGATGCAAATCTCCGTTCCCTGGTGTAAACTTTGCTTGGCCAGAAGTCATCGGCGAGAATCTGATCAATATCCTCAGCCGGAACAACAAGGTGAGCATAGGCAGCACCAAAGTACTTGGATTCCGAAATTGAGCAACGGTGGACGTCAACTTTCTTTTTGCACCACTCCTTAATAGAGTCAGCCTCACACCCAGGATCGGCGTTTCCGAGATAGACAGCTTTCCAGTTTATCCCTTCTGGCCCCTGGAGGCTGCCTCGCTTGCTGGGCGGCATCAGCTTCTTGTACTGTGACGTAATAGTACCCTGCAGTGCGGAAATACGAGTCATGTGTCGGCATGCAGGATGCTGCCATCCATTACGCTCAGTTTCACCAGGAGTACCGGAGCTGGTCATATGCGTGCCATGTTTGGGTGCGTCAGGTGCGTACCGCAAACCTACTTGTACACTGGGCACGGGGCTCTGCAGCGGACGCACTAGGAATGGTGGTGTTCGTAGTTGGACCTACTTGTACAACGGGCTCTGCAGTAGACGCACATGAAAGGGTGCCAGCGTTCAATTGGTACAGAGTGGTTTGTGGCATTGCCGGGGCTCGCTCTTGCTGAGTTTTTAGCTCTCCATATCTTCCCGTAACCGTGATATTTGAGCTTCGAAGTTTTCTCGCGAAGACTTATTCTTTTCAATCACATTTCGTAATTGCAAAATCTCACTTGAAAGGGTTCGGATTACATCTAACAGTTCTGATACAATTGGTACCATACCGTTTTCACATGGCGGTACTGTTGCTGGTGCGCGGGTACCCGACCTTGCTCATGGAGAGCGAACACGAGAGGTCCGCCCTGGATAGGGCATCCTTGGCTATCTGCTGCAACACATTAAACTCGATCAGGGCTAGGTCCAAGGTTGAGTCAGCCATAGCTGTGCTACCTTGATCCATGCACAACAAAAACAAAAGTAAGGAGTCGGTTGGCGGAGCAACAACATTTGCTTCCACCTTCTATCACCACAAAGGTGCACGGCATGCAGAGCCGTTCATACACTTGTTACAGAAGGAACCAAGGTGTTTGTTGGGACTCTGAGTTTCACACTACAAGGCAATCATCAGCCAGTGTACATGTGCTGTAAAAGAACCTTTGATCCGCTCTCATGCTTTGTCGCCTCCCAGCTGGTTTTTCGGCGGGGGGGATTAGATCCAGGCTGTCAATTGCAGTGCTATGTACAACACAAAAGATCAGACATGCCGTGATGGATTATGCCCAGTTTCATCTACATGCATCTAGTATTGCGTACAGCAGTGCATGCGTTGGTTCAACACCCTTCTTTATACTGCAGTCACTTCACAGGTGGAAATTGGGGAGGGGGTGGGTCAACGGTCTCTTCACGGACATGTGCCTGGTGTGGGTGGGGGTACCACGGTTGTTGGTGGCATTGGTTTCTGATAGAGCAATAATCTGTTTCGTGCGTTGCTTGCGGATGTTTACACAGCAGACGTTTCATTGCTGTTCATGTGTTCATGATGACAGCAGCATTCCAAGCATCATCTGGGTTGACATCCGCAGCACCCTTGAGCGGTGGGTAAATAAACCCAAACCTAAGAGCAAGGCACTCCTACCCAAGCACTTGCAGGTGATCGTCTAGCTCATATATACGTGCACTTACATTGTTGGCGCTTGAGCTTTATTTTGTAACCCAGTGTTGTTTGGACTAATGTTTTGCTTTATTCTGTGAATGTGTGATCTTTCTGTTTTCCCGCTTTGTAGTCAACAAGCTTCTCTCATACGGTAAGATTTGTTCTTGTAGATACACTCTATCTGCAGACGGAACTGTTTCGTCCTTTGTGGACTCGTCAGCGCAGCACAGAGAAAATGGGGCCGAACCTGATAGCAATGAAAACATATATATTCCAACGCCATATTTTAAACCGGGCCCGAACGAACCTTGCCAGAGTGCTCAAACTGACCAGTCAGTGAGCTCTGCATAACGCAAACAGGAAAGGCAGTACAACACATTGAGAGTGCTCAACTGCTACACTTCTTGTTGATACATATATGTTGCATGCCTACACTGTACAAGTAGAGTCACTACTGCCACAGCCCAATACCAGCTCAAAACAAATGTTGTAATAGTCTCCTCAGCAACCTTTTTTTTTTTACGAGATGCAGTGCAATATGTGTACATGTGTGTGTATGCAAACGAACAACACAGTGATGATGATCTTTCAAAGTTGTTTTCTTGACACGTATATCTTAATATGGTTAGATTCTTTTTCTCTGTCGTACATTGTTGTGGTGTGTTGCGGTTTTTTTCTTGTTGGTCTTGCTTTTTGGACGTTGGTGTGACGCACATTCTTGGTGTTTGTACTTTGTAGGTCCAGCAAGTTCAGGATGAGCGGTGTACCAGTTTTGTTCCTGCCAGGAAATGCTGGAAGTTACCAACAGGGTTAGTAGTGTGTGTAGTTGCTGTTGCTGCTGCTGCTGCTGTACGCCTACATCAATGTCAATACTGCTGCTGTGCGCCTGTCAATGGAAATTGACCGATAATGCGTGGACACAGTGAGGATGATGCGTTCCTTTATGCTCTGCAAAATTCACGCGTTAAATACTAGAGATGGAGGGGGGGGGGGAGGAGGGGGGAGGGGGGGGGGGGGCAGCTGATGCCCGACCTGTATCCAGTACCGCAACTACAAGAGCAAGGCGAAGGTGTGTAACTGTAGAACAGGGGCAACATGCCTTCTTGACGATACGTTCCTGACTGGCGGGCTCATCTGTATTGTGAAGGTACCCGTGCTGGATGCCTCTGAGAATGATGCTTTGAAGACCTACCACAGGCTGACCGAAAATACTCAATGACAAGCTAACCACCTGACATCATTCCAACACAAAACAAAACACATTGAAAAAGCACACAACTCTCCTAGTACACCTGAAAACGCAAGGATTCAAACAGGGCCTACACCATCCACTAGTTCTTTCGCCACCGTTGGCGCCCATTCTCCCACACCACCAACATAATTATGTGATCTGTCCATGACAGAGAAACTCTTCATCAGCAATGTGTCTTTGTGTGTTGTGTTTGCTGACAAGACCAGATCACTGAACAAGCGTTCCAAGCTTGTGTCCCAATGCTGCCACGGATCTAAATACTGCGTTTCAAACTTTAGAGCCCAGATTCCAAACTGGCATATTAGGATACATACATTTGTACGTGAAGTGGGTGGGTTACAGTGAGGGCTGCGTCCCACCCGCCTGTGTGAATTCACAGGGAGTGTGAGTTACAAAGTCTGAAGAAAATGTTGAACGGTTTCTGCTGGGATGACGACTACACCATAGCTCAGTGGTTAGAGCATCGCTGGCTGCAAGCGAGGGTCCCTGGTTCAAGTCCTGGTGGTGGCAGTCCATTTTTTCTTCAGACTTTTCCCGTTTGCACCTTTTCCTCAAATCAGTGAATAGGATACAAACCTACATACAAAACAGAGCAGATGAATCCCGATTACTTGAAGTACATTTATCACAAGTCACTGATCCTGCTCAGGTTCGTACTTATGCACAAGTAGCTAGTAGCTACACCTTACCTCCCACCCTGGCTGGGGCCCTGTGCAACATGCTACATCACTACATATCCTGCTTATCACTGCAACAGTCATGCCTTCTACTATATCATCGTCAATTCATTGAGCTGACCCTTCATGCACCACTGTCCCACCAAGGTGCCAAGGTGCCAAGGGGTATTACTTTCTTTGTACCGGTATAGTCCACTGTTCACTCTCTTGGGCTTAGTCTCCTGATCATTACGTAACAAGCAAGAGACCCTGAGTGGAGACACACGTAGATGGTTTCCAGTGCACTTTGCGTGTGGTAAAGATCATCTGGAGTGCTAGCCACTCATCATCCGCATTGAGCACTCTGACCTGTTCTTGGGCTTTGGGCTTGTAATGTATTTCCATAGAGGGAAGTAGCCAGCTGCGGACCAACTGCTAATCTGTTGACTGGTGCTCTATTTGTTGCGTTTGCATGCACAGTGCGTTCACTGGCGTCTGTGGCACTCAGAATGTCTCTCACCAAGCCAGGAGCAAATCATCTCGACTGGTTTACTATTGACTTCAATGAGGTCAGTCATGGGCAGCTGGCTCCCTGGTGGTTTCCTCGTGATCGGCCACTTCGTGAAATATAAGTTTCCGTGCATGGCACGGTAAGTGAAGTTAGCAACCCACCAACAATTACATTCCTCACATAATTTGCACGTACTTGCCATAGCGCATCACGTGCCCGTGCAGAACACGCACTCCGAACTCCCGCGCCCGGCACGGGACCACGCGGAGCATGCGCATTACTCCGGCTCTCGATGCTGCTTCTTCTTCATCCTTGCTGCGCCAACAGTCAGATCGCTTGACAACCTTGGCCAGTTTTTGAGCAGCTTGCTCTTCGCTTTGCTGTGCTGACGGTCAAATTGTTTGACTATCGCGGCCAGTTTCTGATCAATATCCGATCAACCAGGTCTCTGTCAGTGAGCGATGTCCAGCCAAAACGCTCCGTTTGCTTTGCTGCGCTGACGCAGTGACGGTCAAATTGTTTGACAATCGCGGCCAGTTTCTGATCAATATCCGATCAACCATGTCTCTGTCAGTGAGCGATGTCCAGCCATAACGCTCTTTGCTTTGCTGCCTTGACGGTCAAATTGTTTGACAATCGCGGCCAGTTTCTGATCAATATCCGATCAACCATGTCTCTGTCAGTGAGCGATGTCCAGCCAAAATGCGCTCTGCTGAGCTGCGAAACGCACTGGCATCCCGCAATTTATTATTTAGACCCGACAGGAACAAAACCTACTCCGCGGACTCGCCTGCTCGAGTTGAAGTTGGCTCCAGACTACTGTACGCGAGGACTTGGCCGCTCCGGCAGCGGATCAGAACCTAGCCGAGGCAACTGCAGCCCCATCCCTGGCCTGGGAGACTTTAGTCGGGAGGAGGTTCGCGACGCTTGGAGCACGTATTGTGCGACTGACGCAGCAGCACACCCCTCCAGGGCCCCCGGAGCTGTTTTCGCACCAGCCCATAATCTTGAAGATGGCTCGGAAATTTAGGTCCCTGATGCTGAGCTCTCCTCTCTAAAGCTGACACGAAGTATGCCTGGCGGCTTTGGTCTGTTTCCCCTCATGTCTGGCCCCGGCTTGGTATTTTTTGGAAGGTTCGTACCATGTAGATAAGGCACCACCATTTGGCCTTAGATCCTCCCCCTTCCGTTCAACAGACCGGCTGATATGAACTCTCAGCCCAACGGCGACTCTGCAATGATCCTGCTAAGTCTCTTACTCGTCTTCGAGTACAGCGCTTCCGGACTCTCAGCCCATCTACCGACGCAGTGCTGACACACCCTGCACAGTCCACCCTCCAGCAGTTGACGACGCAACCATGGACCTCATCCGCCAGGGCCTGGCGGCCAGTTCCAGCATAACATGCGCTTCGCTGCCGCGCTCCGAACACTTGTCGCCCTGCGCCAGGGCAAGCCACACTCAGGGACTGATCAGTGCCGGCAGCATTGTTCCAGATCCTGTACTTTGAGTGCATTGCCCACTGTGCTAATGGCTAGCCGCATTGGACGGCACTCACATCAAATGCAGTGTAATAGTAATGCAGATAAATCCTGTTTGGGTCAGGTTGTCAGCGCTGCCGGACTCGCATCCCAACTGCCGAAGTGGTGCCGACACAACCAGCGCAGTCCACCCTCCAGCAGTTGACGACGCAACCATGGACCTCATCCGCCAGGGCCTGGCGGACAGCTCCAGCATGGCATGCGCTTCGCCGCAGCACTCCGAACGCTTGTCGCCCTGCGCCAGGGCAAGCCAACCTCAGGGACTGATCAGTGCCGGCAGCATTGTTCCAGATCCTGTACTTCGAGCACATCGCCCACTATGCTAATGGGCAGCCGCATTGGACGGCACTCACATAAATTGCAGTGTAATAGTAATGCAGATAAATCCTGTCTGGGTCCGGTTGTCAGCGCGTCTGGACTTGCAGCCCAACTGCCGAAGCGGTGCCGGCACAACCAGCGCAGTCCACCCTTCAGCAGTTGATGACGCAACCATGGACCTCATCCGCCAGGGCCTGGCGGGCAGCTCCAGCACAACATACGCTTCGCTGCAGCGCTCCGAACGCTTGTCACCTCGCACTAGGGCAAGCCATACCCAGTGACTGATCAGTGCCAGCAGCATTGTTCCATATCCGGTACGTTGAGCGCATTGCCCACTATGCTAATGGGCAGCCGCATTGCACGGCACTCACATCAATTGTAGTGTAATAGTAATGTAGATAAATCCTGTTTGGGTCAGGTTGTCGACGCTTCTGGACTCGCAGCCCAACTGCCGACGCAGTGCCGACACAACCAGCGCAGTCCACCCTTCAGCAGTTGACGACGCGGGCCGCAACTTTGGACGATCTGGCTGGCGTACAGCACTACCTGCAGTCCACCGTGCCTAGCCCGCACAACCGCGCCATGCTCTGGAGCGCCGTGACTCTGGCCTTCCACGGGCTGCTCAGAGTCAATGAGTACACCTTCACGGAACGGGGCGCCGGCCTTGAGTACAGCGATGTGACCATGTACCCAGACCGCGTGGAGCTGCGCCTGCGTGTGACAAAGACGAGCCAATACGGCAGCGGCCAGGACATTAGCGTCAGGAGGACAGGCTCGCCGACATGCCCGCACACGGCAGCCACCAGCTACCTAGCAGCCCGTGGCTCGGCACCTGGCCCGCTCTATCGCTATGATGACGGCACGCCCCTGAAGCCGCATAACATCAACAGGCTACTACAAACAGCCTTGCCTAACAAAGACGTGCGCAGCCACAGCCTCAGACGAGGCGCTGCAACGCTGGCAGGCAAAGCTGGCGTGCCTGAGTACGTGCCGAAGACCGCCGGCAGGTGGCAAAGCTCTGCCTACCTCCGCTATGTCCGCACCCCTGTCGCAGACAGAGCATTGCCAGCGGCATTGTTCTAGTCTCTGCCCGTTATGCTAATGGGTAGCCGCATTGGACGGCCCTAGCAACAGCTGTAGTGTACATATGATATACCCATTATACTATAACTATAGTAACGCTACTATAACTATAGTAATGCCGATAATTCCTGTTTGGGTCATGTTGTATTTTGGGAGAACGGTAGGGATCGTGGGTCAGGCCGGCATTGAGCCAAGTGCGCCTACATGTGCTCACAAGTGCATCCCTACCGTATGCGTGTATTGACACGCCGGGCAATTGTTGCCCCCATTAGCCCTGGCATTGGCCAGTCTAACGCACATTGGTGCTTGCGATACTACGGCATTGGTCCATAGTATTGCATACTGCATGCGGCAATTGTTGCCTGCGATACTACGGCATTGGTCCATAGTATTGCATACTGCATGCGGCAATTGTTGCCTGCGATACTACGGCATTGGTCCATAGTATTGCATACTGCATGCGGCAATTGTTGCCTGCGATACTACGGCATTGGTCCATAGTATTGCATACTGCATGCGGCAATTGTTGCCTATGCCCTGATAATACAACGCGTAATAGCTCCCAAACAGGTCGGCTTGTGTGGTTGTTAAATATAAGTTTCCGTGCATGGCACGGTAAGTGAAGTTAGCAACCCACCAACAATTACATTCCTCACATAATTTGCACGTACTTGCCATAGCGCATCACGTGCCCGTGCAGAACACGCACTCCGAACTCCCGCGCCCGGCACGGGACCACGCGGAGCATGCGCATTACTCCGGCTCTCGATGCTGCTTCTTCTTCATCCTTGCTGCGCCAACAGTCAGATCGCTTGACAACCTTGGCCAGTTTTTGAGCACCACCACCCACCCCATCATCTCTATCCATCATTCTATTCTAAGCCATCCCGGAAGGGAGAACGGTAGGGATCGTGGGTCAGGCCGGCATTGAGCCAAGTGCGCCTACATGTGCTCACAAGTGCATCCCTACCGTATGCGTGTATTGACACGCCGGGCAATTGTTGCCCCCATTAGCCCTGGCATTGGCCAGTCTAACGCACATTGGTGCTTGCGATACTACGGCATTGGTCCATAGTATTGCATACTGCATGCGGCAATTGTTGCCTGCGATACTACGGCATTGGTCCATAGTATTGCATACTGCATGCGGCAATTGTTGCCTGCGATACTACGGCATTGGTCCATAGTATTGCATACTGCATGCGGCAATTGTTGCCTGCGATACTACGGCATTGGTCCATAGTATTGCATACTGCATGCGGCAATTGTTGCCGATGCCCTGATAATACAACGCGTAATAGCTCCCAAACAGGTCGGCTTGTGTGGTTGTTAATTCTTATATCGAAAAAATTATTGTAATTGTGTCAAGCTGTGCATGTGTCTAACATGATCTGCGGAATCAGTTCGTGTGTCCTCTCCCGGGTTTGTGACTCCCCGCTGGTACCGTATCCACACATCCTTGCTGGTGCAGTATTGTAACTTGCCTTCTGCCTTTTTATGGTGTGTGTGCGTGTGCACGCGCGCGCGTGTGTGTGTGTGCGTGTGTGTGCGTACCTATGCGTGTGCATATGTGGGTTCATGCGTGTGTTCGTACATGCGTTTGTGGGTGTGTGGGTGGGTGATATCTGGTTTGATGTGCAGGAAATGGGAGGGATTCATGGCTCAACCTTGATGTCACAATCCAGTAAGTATTAAACATGGGCTCTGAGCAGCCGTATCTTTGACTTGACTGTCATGATAGTGTACATGAGTAAGCAGCAGCATTCGGCCTTGTACAGACACTTCTCAGCATTCCGCCCTGTACAGACACTTCTCAGCATTCGGCCCTGTACAGACACTTCTCATCAACCACCACACCACAACTGTGCTCTCCAGTTGACCCTTCCCCTTTTGGTGCAAAGGGGTGAGTTTCACTATCTTAGCCATTCTACAAGATCTACCTAAGCGCTAAAAAGTGAACCATAATATCATGAATGTATGAATGTGTGCTATTCCTGCACCTTGTGTATAACCCTGCTTAATATGGCGGTAAATACACACCTGGAATTACGGCAGTAAATACACACCTGGCATTATGGCGGTACATACACACCTGGCAATATGGCTTTAAATACACACCTGGCAATATGGCAGTAAATACACACCTGGCATTATGGCAGTAAATACACACCTGGCATTATGGCGGTAAATACACACCTGGCATTATGGCAGTAAATACACACCTGGCATTATGGCAGTAAATACACGCCTGGCAATATGGCAGTAAATACACACCTGGCAATATGGCAGTAAATACACACCTGGCATTATGGCAGTAAATACATGCCTGGCATTATGGCAGTAAATACACGCCTGGCAATATGGCGGTAAATACACACCTGGCATTATGGCAGTAAATACACACCTGGCACTAGGGACCTTTCGCATTTGCTACGAATCGAATGCGAAACGAAAGTTTGATTCGGCTCGTAATCGTTTCGTTGAAAACAGAATTCAGGTTTCGCAAGTCGTAATGCAAATGTGCATGGCAACTACGAATACGGCCGGTAGCTTGGCGTACGGGTGTGTTCGCGCACACGTGCATGGATCATGGAATCAAGGGAAAAATGTGTACCTGGCAAAACATGTGTACCTTGCAAAAAAAGGTGTACCTGACGGATTCGGAGCGTGCCACGAATGAAGAGGCTTCCATTTGTGAAAACGAGCTCTCCGCGGCGACTCTGACGAATCCTCGAACCCAGGTGACGAATCAGCATTCGTTTCGTATCCGTACGCGTGGTGCGAAAGGTCCCTATTATGGCAGTAAATACACGCCTGGCAATATGGCAGTAAATACACACCTGGCAATATGGCAGTAAATACACACCTGGCAATATGGCAGTAAATACACACCTGGCAATATGGCGGTAAATACACACCTGGCAATATGGCAGTAAATACACACCTGGCAATATGGCGGTAAATACACACCTGGCAATATGGCAGTAAATACACACCTGGCAATATGGCAGTAAATACACACCTGGCAATATGGCAGTAAATACACACCTGGCAATATGGCAGTAAATACACACCTGGCAATATGGCAGTAAATACACACCTGGCAATATGGCAGTAAATACACGCCTGGCAATATGGCAGTAAATACACACCTGCCCACACACGCTCTCAATGCTGCTAAGTTACTCTGGCACAGATGGTGGTGGTGAGAAGGAGAGCTCTGTGCTAGAGTAACTTTGCAGCGTAGAGAGCGTGTGTGGGCAGGCGTGTATTTACTGCCATATTGCCAGGTGTGTATTTACCGCCATATTGCCAGGTGTGTATTTACCGCCATATTGCCAGGTGTGTATTTACCGCCATATTGCCAGGTGTGTATTTACCGCCATATTTCCAGGTGTGTATTTACTGCCATATTGCCAGGTGTGTATTTACCGCCATAACGCCAGGTGTGTATTTACCACCATATTGCCAGGTGTGTATTTACTGCCATATTGCCAGGTGTGTATTTACCGCCATATTGCCAAGTGTGTATTTACCGCCATATTGCCAGGTGTGTATTTACCGCCATAATGCCAGGTGTGTATTTACCGCCATATTGCCAGGTGTGTATTTACTGCCATAATGCCAGGTGTGTATTTACTGCCATATTGCCAGGTGTGTATTTACTGCCATATTAATCAACATAACTTACATACTTACATAAGTACAGCTGCAGTGGAGTCTTCAATTTCCCATTTCGCTAGCAATGGTACATTGTGACGGGAAGTGGGAGTTGTGCTAGGAGCTGAGAGCGAGATATAACAGTGTGCATTGCCTATGATGTCATACTGATGTATTCATGTAATGAATTCAGTTTAGCGTAGGCGCACATCTCGCAACTACGTATCTGCTGCGCTACAGCGCCCTCTACGGTTCTGGCCGCGGCACTTGTTTAGCGCGCCTTGCCGCGACCGGCAAGACCGCCTGCTGTGCATCACATTAATTTATGCGTACGCCATCACAATAATTAATTCAGTTTTGATCGGGTCCGAGTCCGCAACGTGGCACATCTCCTTGCCATTCTCAGTTTTGAGTCTTCTCTGCTTTGGCTCATGCCCGACTTGCATCCTGCTGCCTTTGTCTTTTGCTGACCCACCATCCCACCACTAACCATTAATACTACATTGCATCATTCCTACTTCAAGTACAATAAACCTGGTGGCGAGTCACTCATAACTGGTCTGCCTTTCTATTGCGGCATTATGGCCTTATGGTCCTGCCTTTCCATTGCGGCAATCACAGCCTCCGGGCTTCTGCCTTCCTGCGGCAATCACAGCCTCCGGGCTTCTGCCTTTCTGCGGCACTCGCAGCCTCACGGGCTCGTGCCTACCTTGCGGCAAAGACCAACCAGTTCCTCGTCACCAGTACTTACCCAACACAACCTAGCCTTATTCGTGTGGTGTATGCCTGTCTGCATGCCGTCTGTGTGCGCGGAATGCTAATGATGTATGCCTGCCTGCATGCCGTCTGCGTGCGCGGAATGCTAATTGCAAGTAAATATTTCCACTCAAATCCAACCGGAACTTCACAGCATGAAAAAATAAAATCAGCAAAGTTGCCTTTTTTAATGAAGCGAGACTATGCATGTGACAGGAAAATGAACTACCGTAAAGTACCGCCAGAGCGCCCCGTCTCGCGAGAGCGCCCCACCCTGATTTTACAGCCAGGGAAAGGAAAAATCGTATGGCAGAGTGCAACAAAGTTTGTACCTTGTGTGAACCTAAGTGTACTAAGGTCACACTAAGCAGGTTTTGTGTGGATCCCGTGTTCGCTTGAAGGTACGGATTGTATGCAGAACGTGCGATATGTGTACAAAGATCGTGTCGTATGACCTACAGACAGGAGACCACTTTCACAATACGACCACGAAAGGACGAGATGGTGGGGCGCTCTGGCGGTACTTTACGGTACATGCAAAATACGTGTGAAATAACTACCTACACTCAAGGGGAGGGCGGGTGGGACACTGTTATATCTTGCTCTCAGCTCCTAGCACAACTCCCACTTCCCGTCACAATGTACCATTGCTAGCGAAATGGGAAATTGCGCATCGGAGCTTCAAGCTTCGATATAACAGTGTATTCTTCAAAGCGCACAAAACAAACAAAGCCCGCGTGAAATAAGCATACTTATGTCCAAGCATGGACAACATTGAAGTATGAACCGTCATTGATAATGACTTGTGGAGTCACGGGACAGGCCCCAGCCTAATCCCCGGAGCTGAGAACGGCTGCACTGTATGTGGCCGCTGCCGCTGATGCCGGTGCTACGTCCCGGCGGTAGAAACAGTGGAAGGTTGACGCACGCTTCCGGTCAGCTGTATCCATGATCACGGTCGTAGACCCTCCGGCTCGAGCTGCCGCAGATGCGGAGGCCCCGCAAGTCGAGTGGGCGGAGAAATCAGAAGTGCTGATTCCGGCTTGTGAAAGTATGTCCTTCAGCCAACGGGCCACGGTCGGTGAAGACACCGGCTTGTGTGGCTTCCGGAACGACACCAATAGGGATGGCGGGGCGTTGTCCGCCGTACGCCACGATGCGGAGCGCGCAACGTACGCCAACAAATGCTGCACCGGACAGAGCTCCGGTACCGGAAAAGGTGCGAAACACACTTGCTGGAGAGGCTCACCAGAACGCTGTGTCTTCCTTGGGCGCAGCAAGGACAAACGGATAGAACCATCCAATGTTTGGCAGAGGTGGTGAGACAGCATCCACAGTTCTCCACAGCGATGAGCACCTGCCAGTGCCAGGATCATGGTCAAACGTAGAGTGAGCTGCTTATTGGAAAGCTCGGCTGCAGTCGGCCAGGAGCGTAGCATATCAAGCACAATTTGCACATCCCAGGTGAATGCATACCGTGGCTGCGGCGGACGTAGGTTGTAAACGCCCTTCGGCAGTCGAGACACTGTGGGGTGATTGCCCACCGCTGCTCCATTCATTGGAGGCAGGACTGATGACAGAGCCGACCGGTATCCGGACAGAGTCCGGAATGCCCGTCCATTCTGAAACTGGTCCGCGAGGAAGGCCAATATCTGGTTTAGAGCTGGTCGAGTCGGATCCACCTGCCGTCCACCACACCAGCGACTCCAGCATGTCCAAGCGCTGTCATAGTGACGTGCCGTGCTCGTCCGCCAGGAGGCGAGCAGGAGGTTGGACACCTGGTCCGAAAATCCTGACAGCGCGAAGGAATTCCGGAGATGGTCCACGCGACCAACAGCAGCTTGCTGTCGACAATCAGGGGGTGCTGTTCGCCCAGAGGACCCTCCACTAGGTTGGGCCAACATGGGAGCAGAGTTGGGGAGCTGGTGGCCACTTGCAGCAAAGCCGGGAACCATGTTGCTCCCCGCCATAGCGGAGTTACTAGCACGAGCTGAGGAACCTTCTGCATCTGCACTTGCCGGATCACCCTGCCGACTAGCGAGAATGGGGGAAATGCATACGCGCTCATGCCTGCCCAATCCAGGGAGAAGGCATCCGTAGCCATTGCCTCGGGATCCGGGTGCCAGGACACAAATGTTGGTGTCTGAGATTTGACCCTGGATGCAAACAAGTCGATACAGCAACCACCCAAAGAGTCGCGAATCCACGAGGAGACTTGAGGGTGGAGACGCCACTCCGAAGAGCTGTGATGGCGTGACCAGAAATCGGCGATCGTGTTGAGCGGTCCCGGGATATACTCGACACGAAGGGTGAACTGTCGATCGAGACACCACTGCCAGAGATCTGTTGCTACTGAGTTGAGAATCTGACTGTGTGCTCCGCCCATGCGGTTGACATAGGCGACCGCTGTTTGATTGTCCATCTGCAGCAGAATATGGCACTTCTGAGCATGACGAGCAAAGCATTGCACTGCAAACATCCCAGCCAGGAGTTCCAGGACGTTGATGTGCAACTTCGCTTCCTGCATCGACCAGCGACCGCCCGTCACCTGTCCTGCACAAACAGCACCCCAGCCGCCGCCCCCGCCATGGGAGGCAGCATCGGAGGCAATGATGAGGGCTGGTGGATCCAGACGTAACGGCCTCCCATTCCCGGTGTCGAGGTACTTCACCCACCAAGTCAGATTGGCACGGGAGTCGGAGTTGAGAGTGATGGCTGTCTTCCACGACATGTTCCGGCGTCGAGCCGAGTTTTTCTGTGCCTGGAGGGCACGCAGGTGTAGAGGTGCTGGGGCTACCCCCGGCCATGCGGAGGTCATCATCCCGACAATGCTGGCCATCTGTAGAATGGAGATACCTGGCTCCGCCAAAGCGTCCCGGCAAGACCTGAGTGTCTTTGTCCGGCGCTCGTCTGATATCTGAATTGTCAAAGAGACCGACCTCACTTGAAATCCAAGAAAGGTCATCTCCTGTGCGGGAACCAGTACAGATTTCTCGAAGTTCACGATGAATCCGAGGCCGCAAAAAAGATGGATAGCTGAAGCCGTGCAGATCAGCGCTGCTTTGCGCGATGCTGCCAGGATCAGCATGTCGTCCAGATAGATGATTACACGAATGCCAAACTGGCGAAGTGTAGTCACGACTGGATGCAGAATCTTTGTGAATGCCCAGGGGGCCACAGACAGACCAAATGGCAGGCACCGGAACTCGTATCTCGTGTCTTGCCAGAGAAATTGCAGGAATCTCCTGTCGTCCTGCGCAATCGGCACTGTCAGGTACGCATCCTTGAGGTCGATCTTGGTCATGTAGTCTCCCGGCTGGAGAAGATCGTGCAGGGAGTGAGTGCCCTCCATCTTGAAATGATGGTAGGGTAGGAAGCTGTTCAATATCCTCAGGTTGACAACAGGCCGCATCTTCCCGCCTGCTTTCGGAACCACAAACACGGCACTCGCGAATCCTGGCGGCTCCCGGGAATCCACACTCCTGACTGCCTCTTTCTCCAAGAGAGACTGAACCTCCTGAGACATGGCTTGTTGCTCGGAGGCGGACAAGGGTCGGGAGTTGGGCACGCTGTCCTGGGTAGGCTGCGGATGGAGTTCTAGGTGGTAACCTTGTATAGCTCTGAGAATCCATGGATCGGCGGACAGCTGCCTCCACTCGCTGGCGAAAAGGGCTAGGCGACCCCCGAGAGGCAAAGCCCAGTCCTGCGCCGAGACAGCAAACAGCATCTGCCAGTCTGGCAGCAATGACTTGGCGACCCAGACCACCTCCGGCACTAACATTTGCACCGCTGGAGTGAGGAAATGGCTTAGGAGCGGCCCCGCTTTGCTGTGTAGCTGGTGTTCGCTCCTTGCCCGTCTTGCTTCCTGGTTGGGGGGAGCATCCGACCTCGGTTGGCATAGCCACGACCTGCTGAGCTGTACTGGGTCTGATTGTACGGGATGGTGTACGGCTGGTACCGGGAGCCACCGCCGTACCTGCTGACCACGGCACCTCGAAAAAACTGGCGTCCACCCGCTGGTGGTCCTCCAGCGCCAGACGTGTTGGTGCTCGGCTTCGGGGAGCTCGAGCGTCCTTATATTGTTTGACCACAAAGCCCAGAGCCTTTTGGGACTCCGCCTTGGATTGGATGCGGTCCATCAGCTCTGGGCCGAATAGGGCCGTGCCTGCCTTGTCGAAAGGCTCCTCCGCCATAGGAACAAGGCTCTTGTCCAGGTGTTCCAGGAACTCCTGACGCCTCAGCACTGATATTTTGTTGTTGGCATTGCCCAGAAGGGACAAACCAGCCGGCACCATGTCCAACACTGCTTGCGGATCCAGGCCTGTGCCAGCGTCCTGCACTGACCTGGCTTCCATCATTAGAGCAGAGAGAGGACCCAAAGTCCAACACACTGCTCTGCAGCGAGTACAAGGTGTTGTCTCGCGACTTCTTGAAAGACTGCCGAACACCTGGCAAATTCATCACTTCTTGGTCCAGCTTCGGTGTGACCTCAGGCCGGGGAAACTGCTCCACCAGGTCCCTGCGCTCCTTGCTTTTCAAGGGTTTCCTGGAACGAATTTGCAGGAACTGCTTGATCTCTGAGGACACCGGAGCATGCTCTGGGTCCTCTGTGCTTACGTCCACACACGAGGGTGCCTGCCCACTCGTGGTGTCGTGCAATTCAGCGTCACTCGAGCAGGCCTGCCCATTCGAGGAGCTAGGTGGAAGCAACAAACTTCCACGCGATAAACCAGACTTGTGCCTGCCCAAGGAACTGGCGATCTCCTGGGATTGAGTGCCTGCACCCAACCTGGAAACTTCGGAATCCGATTCCCTGGATCGCGAGGACTGGCCCTCGGCCAGGCTCGGTCCAGCTTCCAAAGCACGCAGACGATTATTGATAGGACCAAGAAGATCTAAAACGGCTGATGAAACAGCTTTACGGATCGTGTTTCGTCCATCTCTAATCGCGAGAGAAGAAGAGCCCAGATTTTCTAATCACTTCGGTTGAGCGGAAATAAAAAAGGCAACTTTGCTGATGTGGTTTCGTGATTTATTTTTCATGCTGTGAAGTTCCGGTTGGATTTGAGTGGAAATATTTATGACATCATAGGCAATACATATTGTTATATCGAAGCTTGAAGCTCCGATGTGCAACCTCATAACCCTGCTTGGTATATACATATTTATGATTGTATTGGATGTGACATCCTTGCGATTGGCTGCGAATGGCTGCTGAGCTGTGACTTGTAAATGCCACTGTCTGATGATCACTCAAATGAAAGTGAAACTTGAAATTTCAGCCCAGCAACCCTTCACCTTGGGCATGTGTGTGTACGTCAGGGTGACTTGAACATGACTTGTTTGTTTATTTTTTTGATTGGTTTGTGTGCAGACTTTGCGTCAGTATGTGTTGAGCACATACTGTCTCTCTATAATCACCTCTCCGTGTCAGCACGGCCTAGCAGTGTGGTTATTGTCGGTCACTCAATGGTAAGTAGAGAGAGAGAGAGAGAGAGAGAGAGAGAGAGAGAGAGTGTGTGTGTGTGTGTGTGTGTGTGTGTGTGTGTGTGTGTGTGTGTGTGTGTGTGTGTGTGTTGTGCCATTTTGTCGTACTCGCTGACTGTATATGATCTGGTTACGTTGTGGACAGTTGGTCATAACTCGTAACATTTTGTCCTTATCCTTTTTACCAAAATACCGTAAGATTCCGTAAATAAGCCCACCCTAAATAACGCCCATGTCCGATAATAAGCCCAGTTTTAGGCGGTGTACACTTCAAGTCCATTTTAGCGCCCATGCCCGAAATAAACCCAGGGCGTAAAGTGGACTCAAAATGACCAGCGCGCGAGCGTGCGTTCGCGTACAAACTGTAGAACAGTTGTAGATCGAGTGCGTACCTGTACCGCGCTCAGTGTGAATGGTGGTTCACTGAAACTAGTGGGTTGCTGATAGATTGATCTTCTGCAGATTGCGTCCGAAATAACGCCCATGCCCTAAAATAAGCCCATGCCCAAATATACGGCCGGTTTTTTACGCTCTGCAAAGTATACGCCCGGGGCTTATTAACGGAATTTTACGGTAATCATCAGTGACCTTTGTTGTGCCGCTGGATGTCTTTATTTCGGCTACCTTTTTCACGACTGTGAAGATGAAGGGAGGGACATTCGTGTATGTGTGACTCCAACATTAGCGTATGTGTGGTTAACTACACTATTTGAACGTCTGCCCGCATTGAGGTGCGTGTCTTGTAGGCAGCATTCAGACAAGATAGTAATTGCGACTCCGGCGATACTTGAATAGTTGGTTGCTCCCTACCGGAGAGCTCGTGCTTTTTCTTTCCACTGGCTTGACATTTGAGTGACTCACAACTACCATCCAGAGCCTATGAGAAGCCAATTGAATCATTGGCTTGGCAAGCTTGCTAGATATGCATCACTCCCCACTCAGTACACAGTGGATAGCAATTACTCAGTATGAGTTCGGCACATGTCAAATCAAGTAATTACTTATGGGACAGGCGCATGTCTAATCAAGTTTGCAGAAACACTGCTGGTTCCCATGCAGTAAGATGGTTCAACAGCTTTTTGTGTATTTCATTGTTGCTGCTTTTTCCTATGTCCAGGGTGGAGTAGTTGCACGGTCACTGCTAACCACCGACCTCTTACCCAGCCACTCGATACACACTATTCTAACATTGGCTTCTCCCCATCAAACTCCAGGTAGGGTTACCTTCTTCCCACCAAACTCCAGGTAGAAGTTGTTTGGGTTCTTCAGCTTGAAGTATACATATTTGTAATAACTTGGCCACCTTATGCTTTGAAGCAAACGGCAGGTTTCTTTTAGTGAACACATCCTTCACTGCAGTGTGACTAAAGCCCAAAGGGCTATGACTAAGACTAAAGCGTCGTGGCACGGTTACGATTACAATCCATGCGTGCCCAAAGAGCCTTAACGCGCATTCAGACTTTCACGGAAAACAGCAATTCGATTCGTATTAGGTTGTGTCATGCCTTTGAGTGCTAATCGTTTGACCTCACAGTTCAAAGTAACTGGCATGTACGCCAGTACGCACCTAATACACACTGAAAAATGCGTGTGGAATATCTGTTCTGACGCGTTTCTATACGTTTATCGCCCAAAAAGCCAACAAAAATACGCACAAACGTGTGGTTTCATGCATACCCGCACCCGAGAGCAAACACCTTTTAAAAGCATACCCTGCAGTGCTGCAAACAGTGCAAAGGCAAAGGATGTTGAACTTTACCACGTAAGCTCAAATAAGGTGCTTGCGCCAGCCTTTGTTGCTCGTTCTGTGGTGTCATTTGTTTTATTTCTATGCCAGCCAACGAGAAGCACCACTTTCTGTGAAAGGACGTGCAATGCAATGGTGATGGAGAGAGTCTTGTTTGATGAACTGTTGGGAGATACGCTATTTTTTTTGTAAACCATCATAGATGCGCTAACCCAGTGCTATTGTGTTATTGTGTGTTGTGTGCTGCATAGCTCTGGCATTGGATAATCAGCTGAATCAGTTCTACACCACTGTCAACCAGGTACAGTACATGTACATGTTGAATTGCATTGAGCTATCTGCTGACTGATGATGGATGATGGACTGCACGGCTAGAAGTGCTGCGGTTTAGCGGCTTTCTTGCTTGAAATACTATGGTGCACATGTATCAGTGCTGCCAACCTTCCGTATTTTTCCGTATTTGTACGGAAATTCACTCCTTTGTCCGCAGTACGGAAATTGATCGAAATTGTACGGAAAACTGAGAAGTATGGATCAGCTGACTATGAACCAGGTTTTCTACATGTACCGTAAAGTACCGCCAGAGCGCCCCACCATCTCATCCTTTCGTGGTCGTATTGTGTAGGTGGTCAGCTGTCTGTGGGTCATACCGTACTTCCCCACATATGAGTAATCGGCTGAGTAAACCGTACTAAGAGCGAGTTTTGATAATGTCGGAATGAGCGAAAAACAAAACGAGTTTTGGAAATTCGATTCGATTTTGAGCTCGCGTGCAGTCGATCGAGACGACAGAAAAAGTTTTTGTCACCTTTGTTCTCACCTTGTTCAAGTGGCGGCGACTAGTTTGAAGAGGGCAGGAGAACATCAATCATGAGCAGTCGGAGACTAAGTATCGATGCAGTCGTCGGTCTGGACGACGCCAGCTTCGCGGAGCTGCAGGATCTGGACGAGGACTTCTTCGGTCGATCCTCAGCGGAAGCGGCAGGTGTCGACAGCTCCGACTCAAGCTCCGACGACGACGACTATCCACCGGCAAAACGCTCCCGCCTGGCATCGACAGCAGCAGCCATCGCCGTCCCCTGCAGTGACGACGATGAGTACTTCTCTGAATGCGAAGAGAGCGGCAGCGATCAAGCAACTGCACAAGGCTAGTCTGAAACGATACGTGTTGGGCCAGTTAGCTCGCAGCATTTTGCCAAAAAGTAGTGCTGACGAGCGCAGGACGTTCTGCCATAATTATACTAGGTGTCAATGTCTGTGTCAACGTAAGCAGTTTGTCGCATCATACACTAGTGTCCTTCCAGCACCTGGTCGAGGAAGGAGTTGCTGAGCTGCCTGCACACCAAGGCAAAGAGCCAACACCATGGCACGCGCTAACACAGGAAATTGTGCAAAAAATTGTTCGTTTTGTGGAGGTGTATGCAAGTGTGCACGGCATGCCAGAACCAGCTGGTCCTCACAGTCACCCGCATCAACCATCTGTATACTTACCAGCAAGCTACAACAAGGTCATGTTGTACAAACAATGCAATGAAGTTCTAAAAGAAAGTGGTGTGCGTGAAGTCGGTTATCGTTCATTCCGGCAGGTGTGGAAGACGCATCTTCCCCATATCCGCGTCATGAACCTACTCGGAAAAGGAAATCTCTCCTTTTCTCTCAACTGAACCTGATGACGATCTCTCTTGGGCGTGGTTCATGTGATTGACTTCCTGAAATGGCCTGTCAACTCCACCAGCCAATGCTCAGAACAGAAACGGTGACATACATTTCCTGAAATGCTGAATTTGTATGTGCTATACTTCAAGTATTGATTTGGACCATTTCTATGTGTCATATGGACCCCACATTTCGGCTGCAGAAGCGTCTAGTCATAGTAGATCAAAAAATTAAAAAAATTAATTGACCCAAAAAGTCCTTATAATTATAGGTTTACTCAGCCCATGTCTCATATAAGTGCGCATGCAAATTTGCTGCAAAAAATATTTTTGGCTGTGTAAACTTTTTCGGGTAGAAGCCCATGCACTTATATGCGCAATAAAGGTTTGTCTGTGTTCTAAACAATGGTGTTATCACACTGCTTAGTGATATATTCAGCTCCCGCCTTTTCACCAATAGTGTTCACATATAAGCACATGCGCTTGTAATTGGGGGGTGCGCTTATGTCCGGACATAAGCACATGCGCTTATATGTGCGGAAGTACGGTACGACATGAACCTTGTGCACATATTGCACGTTTTGCAGTCAATCCGTACCTTCGAGCGGACACAAGCTCCACACAAAAACCTGCCAAGTGTGACCTTAGTACACTAAGATTCTTACATCGTACAAACTTCGTTGCACTCTGCCATACGATTTTCCTTTCTCTGGCTGTAAAATCAAGGTGGGGCACTCTCGCGAGACGGGGCGCTCTGGCGGTACTTTACGGTACATGTACATGACTATGTACATAATTGCATGCAGAGCACATAAAACTGGCCACACCCTTTAACACCATTGTTGGCTGTCCTACACTAGGCTACAGTTCGCGTGACGCATTACTTCCTGGGACTAAGACCATGTACGACTTACTTAGCACCCCGTACAGTATCCTGAAGTCTACAAATGTCGCAAAAAATACATTAAAAACTCTGGAAAATACGGAAATTCAGCAATCCGAGTACGCAAATCAGACCGAGCAGGTTGGCAGCACTGATGTATGCACGTGCATGCATGAGAGTTTTCAGAACACTTTGCGATCACACACTGACACCAGGACTACGTTGTGAAGGAAGGTTTCTGTATTCTGACTCTTGGAGTTCATACACTGTAAAAGCAATGTTGCAGTAGCCATCAGTGAAGATGCAGGTTGTTATACTCTACAGCTCATTGCAGCCCCAGTACAGCCCAGTACGGGTCATTGCAGCCCATTACAGCCCAGTACAGGTCATTGCAGCCCATTACAGCCCAGTACAGCCCAGTACAAGGCTGTTTTAAAAGTGAGGAAAGGCAGCTACCGGTACATGTAACAGGAATGATGGTGAAGTAACTTTTGAAATATTGTACTTCGAAGTAGTGTTGAAACGATCTCACCGGGTACTCGTTAGCTCGCTCGCCAGAAACTCAGCTCGTTTGTGCGGCCAGCTCGTTTTCACTAACGAACACCGTACACCGTACTCCGTACACATGGCAGTACATGTCGACCGGGGAGTCGTAGAATATTTTACGACTCCCTGATCGAGAGTCCAGTCCCACGCAAAGTGAAAATCACTTGCAGTTACAGTGACTGTATACCTTCACGGCATGTCAACACTGAGTTGTTTCAGTTGTCGTTGCAGCTTTGGTGGACTCCACTGATGTCTTGTTCCGCATCTGCTGCCCTGTCAAAGTACATGCTTCTGTCAACTTTCTGAAAGTTACGCTCAGTCGTTTGGATGTTTTCTCCCGCGATGCAGCGAAGAACAGGGCTACTTGTGATCTCTGAAAACAGTCTATTCTTTCAAAGGCTGCTCAACGACGGTGCTGAAAAGACATCTCGACACCAAACAGCAGTCCGATGTGAAGCAGCAGCAACCCCAAATGCCGGCGGTGATAATTAAATTACCGTATTATCTCTAATATAAGCACAGTCTCCAATAATAGCACGTCTAAAATAATAGAACACCTTGGGGCGGTATTCAAAAAATAAAGTGCTCAGTCTCCATTATAAGCACACTGTGTAAATTCGTTATCTGTACCAGCGAAAAACCCTGAAATGTGTGTGTCTGACATAAATTTGGCATGGCAACATGCCTCTGAAATGAGGTTGAAATAATAATGGAACAGTCTCCAATAAAGGAACGTCTCCATTAATAGCACGGGGCGGAGGTACATTGAAAAAATAAAGGACCGTGCTTATATTAGAGATAATACGGTATGTGAACCAGCTGAAAAAATCGAACTTAGAAAAAAGAAACTCGGATGTTGAGCCAATAATAAATGTAGAAAGGAAAAGGAAATATAGATACGAGTTGAGAGTGACTCTCCATCACTGTAACCAGATACTATATACAGTCAGAAAGTGCAACAACTAGGCACAAAACTGACAGAGTACTTACAATCGACATTCTTTGTTCCGTTGGGACTGTAGCTTGTGCTCATTTTCGTTGCGCTTGCCTTCCCCTCTTTGGTCTTTCCATAACCTTGAACCTTCCAAGTTGGAAGGCTGTCGGTTAGCGCTACGGAGAGGTGTTGAAGTTAGGTGTCAGGACGTCGAATGTCTCAGTACTCTGTCAGTTTTGTGCCTAGTTGTTGCACTTTCTGACTGTATATAGTATCTGGTTACAGTGATGGAGAGTTACTCTCAACTCGTATCTATATTTCCTTTTCCTTTCTACATTTAGAAAAAAGATATTTAAAAAATCATATTTGCCACATCAGTGAAACTCGTTAGCTCGCTTGATAGCTTGCTCGTTAGTGGAACTGATCGCTCGTTTGTTATAGATACGCTCGTTTCAACACTAAAATATTGCTTTGCGGTTGATGCATTGCAGATCTGGAGCGAACGCACAAAGTCTGGTAACTTGTCGGATGTGGTGCTGGTGTCCTTAGCTGGAGGCCTGCGTGATGAATTGATTCCGGCTGTACACACTCCCCTGACAGGTGTAAGTCATGATTGTGTGTACTCAACTCTACTGTACACATACTACACACTAGTAATAGACACTAGTAATAGACACTATGTATGTGTTGTTAGTACAGTGCACGGTAAGAAGGTACTACAGTCAACTTCGCTAATAGGGAGGTTTCGCTCTACGGAATTACGTATGAAAATAACGTAGGAACTGCACAGAATTTTCATATAAGTAAAAATCAGAGCTGTTGGGTTTCGCTCTACGTGATTTTTCCACGACTGCTAAACATGCGTTGTTGCTTTGGAGACGCGTTGGCTGCATGCGCCCACCGCATGCACCATGAACCGAAACCGCATTTTCCATTATATTTTGCACGTGGTGTACGGTGTGTGTACCTTGTGTTTCGCGCGGCTTGAACGTTGCCATGAACAAATGCGGAAAATGCGAAAAAAATATTTCAAAAAGTCCTACGGAGGACCCAACGTAGGAAACAGCTTTCCTACGGAAATCCGTAGAGAGATTTACGTATGAAAGTTGCCCTCGCTCCCCGGCACGTACGACATACGGATTTTCATACGTAATTACGTAGAGCGAAACCTCCCTAATAACGACTGCGGATATGACGACAATTCGCGAATAACGACAGAATTTCCATGTCCAGAGCAAAGTCCCATCCAACTGTAATACATATAATGAGACTTCGGGTATAACGACACTTCGCGAATAAGGACACTTTTCTGATGCCCCGCTGAGTGTCGTTATAAGCGAAGTTGACTGTACTAAGAACATCTCTCCCCTTACTGGCACTAGCACGTCAACATCCTTAGCAATGTGCACGCATCTGTATTATACATACTGCAGTATTACACTATCTTCCTGGGTCTTCAGCGTTGGTTGTTGGTGGTACTGTTCTTGCTGTTGTTGCTTTTGCTGTTGCTGTTGGTCTTGGCAATGTCAGCCTCCTGCTCTGCTTTCACGCAAGTATACACCACTGCCCAAAACGGTCTCACGGCTACAAATTCTTCCGAATGAAATAAATAAATGTTATCCAAATTTTCGGGCCAGGCCCACACTGCTGCTCACAAAAGAATACTAGTATTAATATGCATCCTGCACTGATCTGCTCTCATTTGCCTTATTCTGGATTGTTTGTGCCCAGGTAGCTAGCTGCTGGCAATGTCTCCATCAGTAAAGTGGTAAGCAATACCCTGATGTACATGGTAATCATCCTACATGCAGTACTTTGCAGAAAGTTAAGACATGCTTGCCTTCTTTCACATGCTATGGAAGTACAGCACCGTGTGCACATCAAATGTGTCACATACCGGTCCTGATAGAATATACTGCCGCCTGTATTGTCTCGGGAGTCTAGTGTTTTTTGCATTGGCGATGTTTTCTGGGATAAAACCACCTCTTCCCTCTCTGAAAAAGAAACCTGAGATTTGCCATGCAGCTTATAACCGAACCAGGGAGTCATACAAACCCGGGGAAACAACGTATGGATCACTTGTGCACAATCGTGATTGATTGAGAATAGTCCGACTTGCTCTCTGCTTTTAACCTTTTGCGGTGCCAATGAAATCAACTCACCGCGCGTGAAATCATTTTACCTATCTGTAAGAAAACTCGAATCCAGTCGGCTTGATCGCCATATCACTTCGTAATGAAGGGAGCGCGCTGCGCAGAGCACTGTGTTAGATCGGAGATCAGAGTTGCTCTCGGGATTATGGACTCTTGAAATGGAAGGTGTATGAAGTTACAATATCGCCTAAATTCAAACTTCAAAATTCTCCCAAAATTCTCTCTGCAGAAAAAGGAATATCAGCGTGAGTTATTCCAATCCCATGAACACTTGAAGACTATCCTTCAGCTCATGAAATGTTTGCAAGTGAAAGTGGAAACTCAATGTCAGAACTAGAAGTAATTTTATTCAAACCATGCCATGCACAATGAACGCCTACGTCCACGGAGTCTTGCTTAACGTTAGGAGGTGGTTCATGAGCATCTGAATCGCAATCAGAGGTGTTTATGTGCGTGCATGCGCGCGTGCGTGTGTGTGTGTGTGTGCATGTGCATGTACATTTGGGCGTATGTGCGTGTATTAGAGAGGTTGTGCATAACAAAGTTTCGTAGCGTTCGACGAATCTTGCAATAACGAAAAGGGATACAAAAGTTTTGGTTGATTCGGAGCTTGTGCCAAAGTGGGGGCCTTCAAGTTACTTCTAGTATGACAATTACTGTCAATTAGGTCTGGATAGTCATGCTAGATGCTAGATGCTGGAAAGTCATGCTAGATGCTGGATAGTCATGCTAGATGCTGGATAGTCATGCTGGATGCTGGATAGTCATGCTAGATGCTGGATAGTCATGCTAGATGCTGGAAAGTCATGCTAGATGCTGGATAGTCATGCTAGATGCTGGATAGTCATGCTAGATGCTGGATAGTCATGCTAGATGCTGGATAGTCATGTTAGATGCTGGATAGTCATGCTAGATGCTGGATAGTCATGCTAGATGCTGGATAGTCATGCTAGATGCTGGATAGTCATGCTAGATGCTGGATAGTCATGCTAGATGCTGGATAGTCATGCTAGATGCTGGATAGTCATGCTAGATGCTGGATAGTCATGCTTGCACCCACCCAGTGTACAGCGGTACACAAGTGCTGTACAACACTGTACATCACTGTATATCACTGTATATCACTGTGCAGCAGTACGATGGTTGCAACAAGAATAGCTTCTGTTGTTGAGCACTTTTTCCGTCCAAAATTGACGTAGTTCATACGACTTTCGTTACTCCAGGTGGTGATGGCGAAGTCTTACGAATCTTCGTTGCGCCCAACCTCTCTGCTGTGTGTATGTTCTGTAGATCAGTGCTGTGCCTCATGTCTGGCTGTCAACCGATCACCTTTGCATCATGTGGTATGTACTAGAGTGCATGATGGTGGTATGTACTAGAGTGCATGATGGTGGTGTGCGTCTATGTACTGTGTTACACCTGTTTCTTACATCATTGCGGTCATTTTTCTCATTGTGGAAATGGCCAAAGGTGAGTAGATCACATGTGTCGTGTACACACACTACAAACTGAATTCAGCGCAAAACTGCTTCTAGCACCAGCATGAATCACAGTAGTGCCCGGCTTTGACGATTTCCTGAACATACAACATACCCATCGACTTCTCCTCAGCACATCAGCAGTCTTGTGTGGTTTTCAAAGTGTGACGGCTGCAATCTTGGGAGGATGACGGCTGCAATCATGGGAGTATGACGGCTGCAATCTTGGGAGTGTGACGGCTGCAATTTTGAGAGTGTGACGGCTGCAATCTTGGTGGAACCGTTATCTAGTGTACCCTTCAACAGTTCTCTTAGAGGCTCTCAGAAGTTTTTTAATTTTTTATTTGTTATACTATGTGCACATCCCTACAAAGTAATAGGGGTAATAAAAGAGACAAAGACAAAACACAAAGACAACAAAGGAGTAGTAGGTGCTACAAGAGCTGTGCCGGTCAGGCGCAGTGCACTCCTCCGACCATTCCGGTTTCGGAATCAACATGGACTGTGCGGGCCAAGGGGGTATACTATGAATGATAGACTTATGAGAGCATCTGAAAATGCAACAGAAATGAGAAAGAACGGACTCGGATGGAGAGCCAAGGATAAATTTATAGTAAAGAAAAAAGGACCAAGAAACTACAAGTTATGCTATAGTGTCCACTAACACCACCAGTTACTTAACAATCAGCTCATGCGATAACATTGCAAGACACTGCCCGACGGTACTGACGTTCTACAACTAACTGTTAACTGGCTAACAGCTCTAGCACATCTCGGATGCGCACTCCAACAGCCTTCCAACTTGGAAGGTTCTAAGTTATACATCCAACATTGAAATTAAGCTTTTGTGTCTTGGCCTGTTGTCTTCTGTTGAATCACTATGCGCTGACAGGTGCAGACAGTTAGTGCTGGCATTGACCCGTATGCTACTTCAATTGGTCGACACCAAGAGCAAACAGGTATGGTATTGGACTATTGGTACAGATTTTGGGCATTGTACAGGGTATGAATATTGTATAGGGTGTGGGTACTGTACAGGGTGTGGGTACTGTACAGGGTGTGGGTACTGTACAGGGTGTGGGTACTGTACAGGGTATGGACACTGTACAGGGTGTGGGTACTGTACAGGGTGTGGGTACTGTACAGGGTGTGGACAATGTACAGGGTGTGGGTACTGTACAGGGTGTGGACAATGTACAGGGTGTGGACACTGTACAGGGTGTGGACACTGTACAGGGTGTGGACACTGTACAGGGTGTGGGTACTGTACAGGGTGTGGGTACTGTACAGGGTGCAGTCGATGCGCCAAGCCAGCTGAGTGGGTCTTTTTATTTTTTTCGCGCGAAAGTTTATGTGGTGAGCTGTGTTGGTAAAGATGAAGATGTCAGTCAATGAAATTTGCTATATTTCTTGTGTCTAACCAACCCTGTACGGATCGAACTGACGATTCCCGAGTGCAACAAATGTCCTGAAGTCTGCTCCTATTAGTTAGGTATCTAGAAATTTCAACTTGAGTGTCAAGTGAAGACTTTGCCAGTTGCAGACGAGGGAATTCTCGCTTCACGATTTTCCTGGTGTGTGGAGATACGTTGGAATGCCGACCCACCACACCCGACATGATGCTTCAGCAGGAATGCAGGTTGGTGCAGATAATTGCCTAATAATATAATTATGTCTAAGCGTGTATACCTTTCCTTTCGTTGCATGCTTGGTTAATCCGACGGCACGAAATTATAGACATTTCAAAATTAACTTCAATATTTTGGTCGTTGTATATCTTAGTATTCCCTGTCAGTTTGTGCCTTTTTGTCGCACTCGCCGACTGCATATGATCTAGGTACATTGGTACATGCATGGTGGACAGTTAGTCATAACTCGTAACATTTTGTCCTTATTCTTTTTATCCATGATTACATTGGCTCACCATCCGAGTTTATTTATTATATATTTTGAGAGGGCAATATGTAATGTACACACACACACACACACACACACACACACACACACACACACACACACACACACACACACACACACACACACACACACACACACACACACACACACACACACCACACACACACCACACGCACCACACGCACATACCATCACATTACGACAAAATCAAGGCAATGGCGTCGAAGCTCTATAATTTTCTTGTGCCGCGTGCTAGGAGCATAATGGCATTGCCCGATAATAGCACTTGGTGTAAATGGGTTCCCATGTTCACACACCATTGGACCATTGGACGCCCATCGCCGGAGGCGATGATAGCGATGCTACAGCAGAAGCCATAGCAGCTTGTGCTGGGATTGCACCATTCAACAGCTTGCAAGGCTGAAGAATTGACCGCCACTATTCAGCCTGGTCTACACCACACAGCTATGAAGTGGCTTTTTCTGGCCAGTGAATCCCTACTTTTTGGTCTTTTACACACACACACACACACACACACACACACACACACACACACACACACACACACCACACACCACACACCACACACCACACACCACACACACACACCACACACACACGCACACACCATCACATTACGACAAAATCAAGGCAATGCTGGCGAAGCTCTATAATTTTCTTGTGCCGCGTGCTAGGAGCATAATGGCATTGCCCGATAATAGCATTTGGTGTAAATGGGTTCCCATATTTGTGAAGTACATGTATTATTCGGTTGCTGGCTATCAATTGTGCTGTGAGCATAGCAGAGTGAGGTCTTCCAGCTTTGTTGGTGTTTGCTCTATCTTGTGTTTACGCTCTGCAGAAAGGATCATATGTAGTGCCTGCTCAGCATTACATTACATCCATTGCGTAGCAGCAATGAGCCATCCTTCCGCGACTTGGGTGGAATGACGTGCAAGTGGTGCTCCAGGGTCAACTTCAATTTGCCGAGCACGTATGCCGCTGGCTTGGGGTCAGCAGCTGGGTGCAAAGTCTTTGTATACAAATCGTGCACTGTCGTCAACAATGTGGCATCCTTGTCCAGCAATTCACGTGCTGTAGCGGCAATGACTATAATATTGGGGAAATCACTCTCGGCACCTTCCGTGCTGTATTGAGAGATGATGCTTCGCAATTGGTGGTCTGTTCTTGGTGCACTGTCGGCAGGGAGCATGTCAATTTGCTTTTGGTAGCAGCGTCTACAAAATCGACTCTCGTCTGAAATCCTGACGTTGTGCATGCTACGCAACACATGCTCTGCAAGCTGAAAGTTTGGTGACTTCCACCTGTGTTCTGGTGTGAGCCTCGACTTACACCAAGCACATGTTGCATGGCCCACACACTGCTGGTAATGGGTCGGGCACAGAACCGGTTCGCACTGTTCTTTCAGACTGTGCACGCGCAGTTTGTCTGCAGGACAGTGTACGGATGCCGCTGCGCTGCAATCATGTACACTGCATGTGCTTTGGCTGACTGTTGGCTTATTTTCTTTCGCTGCTGTGCATACTTGGCGTCGTATTGCTTTGACGCACTTGCAATAAATGCATTGGCCTGACGTGATGGATGTGCATGTGTGTAGCTTTTGCCAATCTGACAGCATTGAGCCATGTGTAAATCGCTTGTCAGATGGCACTTTGGAGCAAATGCTTCATTCTGGGCCACATGGTCGTCAAGTATGTATGCTTGTGGTGTTGCTGGGTCTTCCTGCCGCTGACATCTGTGCACACATGCATGGAAAATATACGTAAAAAACACTAGTTAGAAATCACGTCACCAGAGGCATGCCCTTTTTTCGGCCAGAGCATAACTTCCGCTCCAATGTCACAAAGACTTACTCTTTCGATACGTCCAGCATAGAAGCAGCGAAATGCCTGGTTAATTCGGTGGCACGAAATTATAGGTCGGGCGATGAAATTTCGACGAAAAAAGGAAAAGAGACAAACCGACGTGTAGCGACACCAAACTACAGAATTTCGTCGTTCTTGAAGAACTCCTAACAGAAAAAGGTGAAAGGCGACTGCTGAATCCTCGAGTGTGACGACTAACTCCGAGAAAGCGTGAGACTGGCAACCACGTACTTACATGCAAACGATCATAATGTTGAGAATGCCTTGAGAAAAGTCCACAAAAAGGGTGCATCTGAAAAATAGAACTCTGTGCTCCGACGTGATTTTTCAAATCTGGCGCATCGACTGGGGTGTGGGTACTGTACAGGGTATGGAAACTGTACAGGGTGTGCACACTGTACAGGGTGGGGGTAGTGTACAGGGTATGGAAACTGTACAGGGTGGGGGTACTGTACAGGGTGTGGACACTGTACAGGGTATGGACACTGTACAGGGTGTGGGTACTGTACAGGGTGTGGACACTGTACAGGGTGGGGGTACTGTACAGGGTGTGGACACTGTACAGGGTGTGGACACTGTACCGGGTGTGGGTACTGTACAGGGTATGGAAACTGTACAGGGTATGGACACTGTACAGGGTATGGACACTGTACAGGGTGTGGACACTGTACATGGTGTGGACACTGTACAGGGTATGGACACTGTACAGTGTCCACACACTGTACAGGGTATGGACACTGTACAGGGTGTGGATACTGTACAGGGTGTGGACACTGCACATGGTATGGACACTGTACAGGGTGTGGACACTGTACAGGGTGTGGACACTGTACAGGGTGGGGGTACTGTACAGGGTGTGTGCTGGTTCATGCAACGGGTAGTGAATTAGGACTGGTCAAGCCAAACCACAGCATCCAGTATGACCCCCCACTCCTATTATGTAAGAGCCCGCCTTCAACAGGGAGCGGAAATGCAGTGTTTGTCCTTTAGCACTGATGCAAGAAACACTCAATTTTGCAAGCGAAGGTAGTCAAAATTTGTCATGGGGAGGGGGGGGGGGGGAGGGTGAGGTGCTCATTATTCTGCGGCTAATACGATAGTATGATTGCTCCATCTCCGAAATAGCTAGCTGTTTCGGCCTTGTTAGGTCTCCTCAGCGGAGCTCAGAGATATAGTATGTTAAGAAAATAAATCACTCATGAAACAGTTGTTAGCACCTGCCACTGCCTATTTTGCTGCAACATCAGGCTAATTGGCCTCGTCTATTTTCCACTGCTCCTTGAAACCTATGTTCAACTAAGTTACCCACTGCCTGTTAGGCCTAACAATAAGCACAACAAGCACATGCACACGTTGCTGCTGCTGTCCAGAGTGTGATAACAACCTTTTGATGCAAATGTCAGACTAATCGACTCTGGCCAAGTCACTTGCATCAAAAATGAGGAAAGCGAAACAGCAGAGTGCAGACCGCATGCAGGTAATAACCAAGATGTGCGTATACAGACCGCATGCAGGTACTATCCAAGATGTGCGTATACTTTGGCCAGACACTACACAAACTCTAAGACCAGCAATCAGCAACAAGTACTCAAGTAATACTTATATTGTATTCTATTTTCACTCCTGCTGGCTGTTTTGCTTTGTCTGTGCCCACCAGAGGTGAGATGTGAGATGTGATATTGGTGCAAACACTACTGCCTACTGTACTAGTGAATGGTGAACGCCTGTAGTCTACTTGTCTGCAACTTGCCGTATTCTTTGCTTGTCCTGTTCCTGTCCAGATGATGGCAAGTGCAGCTGGTCGCATGGCGGTCATTTCTGAGCATCTCAATCCCCACTCAACACTCTTGCCAAGCAAAGTGCACAAAAGTAGGTCTCTGTGAAGTACTTCAATTCACTTGTCGGCATGCGTGAGCTTTGGTTTGATTTAGAACTCACAGAAGAAGATGTTCCCACCACTTCACATTACTTTGCTGGAATTTGCTGAATGAAGTTCCTCTTGCTGTCAACTGGCACCGGCAAAGAAATGAATCATAGCACCATGTGTGTGTGTGTGTGTGTGTGTGTGTGTGTGTGTGTGTGTGTGCGTGCGTGCGTGCGCGCGCGTGTGCGTGCGTGCTTGTGCATGTATGTGTGCATGTCTGCCTGTCTGTATGTGTACGTGTGTATGTAATTATGTATGTATGTGGTGTGTGTGTGTATGTGTGTGTGTGTCGCCGTGCATGCACATGTGTATGTGGCGTGTGCATGCATAATGTGTGTTACATGTGTGCGGGTATACATTTATGGGTACGTGTGTAGAAAGCTTGTCGAAGGCTGAACTTGTGACTGAACCTATCTGGCACTACAACGACAAGTCTGTGAGTACAAGACTTACATTCCTATAGTTGGCAAGGAAATTCTCACGAATCATTTGGTGTGGATGTCGCCTGCTATTGTGCAATTAAACAAGTCCTGGGTTGCTTGGGTCTGGACCACGAACCCTAAGTGATTTGTCTGAGATTCATTTAATGAGCACAGTACCTGAGCATGTTCCATTGAATAATCTAATACGTGATGCTTCGAAGTAGTACTTGGAAGTGAATCCCCTTTGTGTGTGCACGTGTGTGTGTGCACGCGTGTGCGTGCGTGTGCGCACGCGCGCGTGTGTGCGTGCGTGTGCGCACACGCGCGTGTGTGCGTGCGTGTGTGTGCCTTATACCCACCCTCCCCCCTCCCCTCATAATCCACCACTGACATGCAATGCCTCTTGTATCCTTGTGTGTTCTCTGTGTTCTCTGTGTTGTTTATTTGTGATAGAGATCTACGGTGTTTGTTTTCCCAGTGACATCTCACACACACCTGACACTGGTCAGCAATGTGGTAAGAGAGTGTGATACATGTACAGTACCTGTACCTGTACGGATATCAAGGTCCAGTGTACTTGGTGTACCATGTCATTTTCACTCATCACCATGACATCATATAATTATACACTGTGTGTGTTCTGGCTGGTATTGCATGATCTTGTGTTCAACCAAGATTTCTGTCTGTCTGTAATCTATAATCTGTATACCTAAAATAGTAGTAAAAATACAACTGTAGATAGCTGAACCACAGTCTCTCTCTCTCTCTCCTCTCTCTCTCTCTCTCTGTGTCCCTCTCTCTCTCTCTCTCTCTCTCTCTCTCTCTCTCTCTCTCTCTCTCTCTCTCTCTCTCTCTCTCTCTCTCTCTCTCTCTCTCTCTCTCTCTCTCTCTCTCTCTCTCTCTCTCTCTCTCTCTCTCTCTCTCTCTCTCTCTCTCTCTCTCTCTCTCTCTCTCTCTCTCTCTCTCTCTCTCTCTCTCTCTCTCTCTCTCTCTCTCTCTCTCTCTCTCTCTCTCTCTCTCTCTCTGTGTCCCTCTCTCTCTCTCTCTCTCTCTCCTCTCTCTCTCTCTCTCTCTCTCTCTCTCTCTCTCTCTCTCCTCTCTCTCTCTCTCTCTCTCTCTCTCTCTCTCTCTCTCTCTCTCTCTCTCTCTCTCTCGCTCTCGCTCTCGCTCTCGCTCTCGCTCTCGCTCTGCTCTCTCTCTCTCTCTCTCTCTCTCTCTCTCTCTCTCTCTCTCTCTCTCTCTCTCTTTGCCTTTTTATCTGTGTGTACAGCACCAACACGCTCTTCTTGTTCAGTGTACTTTTGATTTTGAAGAATTGGTGAGTTTGTTTTCAGTGGTTGCACTGCCTGTACACTCTTTGGTACTTGGCTACACTATCGTGCCTGGCCACATGCAGTCTCAGTAGGCCGGGGCTAGGGGCTGATATGGCCCCTTTGGGGGGGTGGGGGTGGGGAGGGGGGGGGGCTGGGGTGAGCATGGACATGTGATAGTACCAGCTCTTACCCTGTATCTGCCGTTTCTCACATCTGTGGAGTAGAATGTCCATGTTGAGTTACAGCATGGCCCTGCTATCCACAATGGGTTTTACAGCATGTCCGGCATTACCCCTGGGGAAAGAGGCAGGGCCGGCGGAACCGGTCAGGCTGGTCCAGCCATGGCCGGACCACTTTCCCAGCTGGATGGTCCATGTGATTCGTGCAAAACCGGTGTAAAAAATCCAGAGGTACATGACTCGACTGTACTGCCGACGTGTGATGTGCTTCGAAGTAGCTCAGGACTCCGAGACCGGCACTGTATGGCTGATATGGATAAAAAAAGTTGTGTTTGTGTTCTTTTACTATAATTTTCTGCATTTTCTGGAGCCTTAGAAATGCCCAAATTCGCTTTATTTCACGTCAATTTTAAATATTTCTCCCGCGGGGAGGTCCCCCGGACCCCCCCTCAAAGGTTGGCCGGACCACTCCCAAACTCCTTCCTCCGGTCCTGAGAGGTATTGATCACCAGCAGGATAAGATCAATCTAACTGTCATCAGCTTTAGATCTGGAGGTGCTGCTGCTGCTGCTGCTACTGCTGGCGACGGTGCTGGTTGTGCTGGTGCTGGTACTGGTGGCAGTGCTGGCAGTGCTGGCGTTGGTGAAGTTGAACTCAGTCAGTCAAACATTACAAGTCTTTGATCATGAACATGGGCTTGTTTTCTCATGACTGTAACTTGATTATGTTATCCTGCGTAAACTGTAGCTCTGATGTTGAACCAGTAGCTGAAGCAAGTGTGAGTGTGCAACATGTCTTACCTCCTCTGTACTCCGCCACACAGGTAAGTGTGTGAGTGTGCTAGTATACACGCAAGCTGCGCCATTCTTAACTTACAGTTTAATATTTTTATCGTACCGTCTCTTATAGACAAGAGTGGTGAGAGGTACGTAGCAGTGATGCAAACGAATAGTCGAATATTAGAATATGTTCGAATATCTCGCTCAAAAGAATATTGGAACATTGGAATGTTGGTTCTAATCGATGACCGGAATGTGTCATGGGTGCATGTGTACAGCCAGTAGTAGTATGTGGCTTGACATGGCATGTGTTATTTGTGAATAAACTGCAGGTTTTTAGCCTCTTTAAAGACTTTTACTGTGGTGTACGATTTGTGTTTCCTTGTCCAGATCATTCACTTGGATTTGAGCCTGGTGTCTCAAAGCCACGTGGCACTAGTTCTGCCCAGGAACAGCAAGACTAAAGCAGGTGGCAAGGTTAGTGGTGTTTCACTCCTAAATGTGTTTGTGTGCGCGCGCGTGTGTGTGTGTGTGTGTGTGTGCGTGCGCGCGCATGGGTGCGTTGGTCGCAGGTGGTCCCTTATACCAGGTTCACTGTAGTAAGAAGAGTTCACCAGTGCAAGCACATTATGTTTGCATGACAAAGATGACATTGACATTGATACCGGATGATCATGATGATGTCCAGTGGCAGCAGCTGATTGTGATTGTGCTCTGTTGCTGTTGCTGTTGTTGTTGTTGTTGTTGTTGTTGTTGTTGTTGTTGTTGTTGTTGTTGTTGTTGTTGTTGTTGTTGTTGTTGTTGTTGTTGTTGTTGTTGTTGTTGTTGTTGTTGTTGTTGTTGTTGTTGTTGTTGGCGTGCAGGTGTTTGCTTCTTGTCAGCTAAGTAATGCATCCTTGCTGGACCATCAGTTGGACGTTCATGTTTATATTGCAGGTAATGCAGGTAATGCAGGTATGTGCTTTGAATACCTGCTATGTCTCTATGCTTCCGTTGACTGCATGGCCGGGGGGGGGGGGGGGGGGGGGGTAGCTTCTGAGCTGATTGCCCAGGTCTTCAAGTCACCTAGTACTTTGGAGAGGGCAGTAGCAAGGCAGATAGCACTCTGGAGAGGGCAGAAGCGAGGCAGGTTCCGTGATCGACCTGGTCTGCACTTGAAACTCCTCCTCTACTTGGTTGTAGATATTCAAATGGTTTGATTGAATTGATTCTAATCTTGGCATTTGTCCAAATGTACTACATGTACAAATATAACACCAGCACACACACACACACACACACACACACACACACACACACACACACGTGCACGCACGCGCGTGCGCACACACACACACACACACACATGCACGCGTACGCTTAGTTGACTTGTACGTACTTCTTACCGTAGCAAATGAGTCGATAATACTATCCTTCTGTGGTTGTTACAGGTGCAGTGCAGTCAATTGTTCTAGATGAGTTACAGCTGCGGCACAGACTCCAACTACCAGGATTCACGCAGGTAGGAAGGTTGACAACTTGTGACTGTACTGCACTACCTGTATTGTTCTTGAGGTGCAGTACTGAAGAAACCTTGCCACTGCGTAATGTTCGACAGGCATGAACTGATTTATTGCATTCCCAACTCGTCACAACCACGCGCTCTCAGCTGAACCATAAAGACACCAGCAAGGACACTTCCGTTGAGAGATAATAGTTTTCCATGCCTCTAGACAGCTGTTTCACTCCCTGCCGGAGCTCATCAGTAGAGGATGATAATGGAGTGTAATCAACATTGGCATCAGTGAGGCCTCCCGCTGTCGGTCCTGTTGACGGGCGGACAGGTCGGTGTGAATCCTGAACGGCAACCGAGCCTGTCGCGTTGGGAGATCTCGGCGGTGAGTCTCGCCTGCACACAGGGGCATTGCACCATCATAATTATCACTACGAACAACATACATTGTACTTTCCAGTGGCATCATTATTCTCGCTTTATTGCAATCAGTTGTAGGGTAATTTCCGCGTAAAATTTGCGTCGCCTGTATGGTGTGTTCCTCCACCAATGAGCGCTGTTCTCACATTTACCATTTAGCAGCATGCATATGCCATTGTTCTATGTGGAAAACGCGCACTTGCGCCATTTCTGCTATAAGAGTGATCATTCCTTTACTCTCCATTATCATCATTAATTCATTATCAATTTATCGTCCTCTACTGATGAGCTCCGGCAGGAAGTGAAACAGCTGTCTAGAGCCGTGGAAAAATATTATCTCTCAACGGAAGTGTCCTTGCTGGTGTCTTTGTATATATGGTTCGGCTGAGAGCGCGTGGTTGTGACGAGTTGGGAATGCAATAAATTGGAAATATGGCCGAAAGCTCTGTCGCAATATTTAGTTGTGGAGGCATGAACTGTATCAAACATATACATGTATTATGTGTTTGTGCGCTCACGCGTGTGCATGTGTGTACATGTGTGTGTGTTTGTGTGTGTACATGTGTGTGTGTGTGTGTGTGTGTGTGTGTGTGTGTGTGTGTGTGTGTGTGCATGTGTGTGTGTGTGTGTGTGTGTGTGTGTGTGTGTGTGTGTGTGTGTGTGTGTGTGTGTGTGCATGTGTGTGTGTGTGTGTGTGTGTGTGTGTGTGTGTGTGTGTGTGTGTGTGTGTGTGTGTGTGTGTGTGTGTGTGTGTGTGTGTGTATGTGTGTGTGTGTATGTGTGTATGCAACCAGTTGTAACGTTGACTTTAGTGTTTTTTTTACTGTCAGTTCTACTGTAAACCGTGAAATTATTGCCATGGTCTAATTTCTGCGAAATTCGCGACCGCGTGGAAATCGCGAAATTTAGACAGCGCGAAAAGGAGATCCATAAAAGGTTTAGCATGAATGCCACAGTAGCAAATTCTGCAATCGCAAAATTAAAACCTCGCAAACCTGTCCGGATTCTGAAAACGCGAACTAAAAACGCCGCGAAAATATCACGCTTTACAGTAGTTTGTTGTGGTGCTGCTCCTCTTGCTGGGGACGAGTGGAGCACCGCTGCTCCTCTTGCTGGGGGTGAGTGGAGCACTGCTGCTCCTCTTGCTGGGGACGAGTGGAGCACCGCTGCTCCTCTTGCTGGGGACGAGTGGAGCACCGCTGCTCCTCTTGCTGGGGACGAGTGGAGCACCCCTGCTCCTCTTGCTGGGGACGAGTGGAGCAGCGGTGCTCCTCTTGCTGGGGGCGAGTGGAGCACCGCTGCTGGTTAGCAACTGCCCTCGGGGGTATCATGGTGGTCAAGGTTGAGGGACCATCAATCCAGTGCAGCTTGTAGAGGCATGTGAGCTCTTCGATGTGACACCGAACAGTGAGGCTTGGGAGGTACGACCCAGGGCAGATAAGCTTTAGGGCTCGGTGCTGTACTTGGTCCAGCCGGTTCAGGTTAGACTGGGATGCACCCAGCCATGACAGCGGGCAGTACTCAAGTACTGGGCGGACGAGGCCGCGGTACACGGCACACTTGGCTTTGTTGTCGAGGATTGGCAGAGCCTTCCTCAAGAAGCCAAGCCGTTGGTGACCACGGACTGCAACTTGTCGGATGTGGGAGCGGAAGGAAAGGCTCCGATCGAAGAGCACTCCAAGCAGCTTCAGCTCCTCCACTTCCTCTATGGCCACCCAATCGAACTTGAGTGGCTGGAGGAATCGGCCAGGGTTGACGATGATGGGAAATTGTCAAGACTTGGGACTTTGTCGGCTCGAATGTGATCTTCTAGCTCTGGCCCCATTCTGCGAGGGCATCGACAGCAGTCTGGTCTGGAGCTGCGCTAGGCCAACTGGGAGAGCGTTCAGGGACGGGAGGCACTGATATAGCATAGTGTCATCTGCATACCGTACTCACTCGATTAGAAGGCGGGGGCTTCTATTTTTTCAATGCCGATTTTGAGGAGGCTTCTATTCAAGAGGGGCTTCTATTCGAGAGGGGCTTTTATTGTTTCATTCCATACCAGTATTCCAATCAAATCTCTAAAACTTTCATATTCACAGCAACTCGACCCTGAGTTAGTTCGCACACACTAAGTCGACCAGGACATATACCAATATGAACATGCACGGGGTGTTTTTTGCACACTTGACCTTCATACATGGCACTACCTGGTCACCCCATACTTTGCGAATAGTAGTCCAGGCTTCTATTCCAGATGGGGCTTGTATTTTTTCAAACAGTCCTTGGAGGGGTGCTATTATTCGAGAGGGGCTTCTAATCAAGTGAGTACGGTATATGGTGAGATGGGTTGTAGCTGGGAGGTGGTCCTCCATGTCAATGACATAGATGAGGAACAGAGTAGGGCCTAATATGCTCCCTTGCGGCACACCAGAGCTGATTCTGAATTCAGGTGAGGTTTGGCCTCTCACAACGGCCTGGATTCGTTTTTCCGCCAGGTAGCTGCAGAGTGACTTGAGGAGGTTCCCGGACACTCCATAAGCCTTTGCCTTGTGAAGGACACCTGCATGGGAGACTTTATCGAAGGCCCCCGCAATGTCAACGGCAACAATGTGTACAGCACCCCCGGCAGCTGCTATCTTGCTCCACTGGTGGTGCAGTCCTGTCAGAAGGTCAGCAGGCCCGAAACCTCGGCGAAAACCAAATTGAAGTGCAGTCTGTATTTAGCCACCACCCATGGGGTACAGCATAAGCCCGTCTTTCTATGCAGGTCTACATGTACGCCAAGACATGGTCTCTAATCTGCAATGATGCATGTCTGTGACCGGTGGTTGCACTACGTTACCCAGACATGTAACATCAGCATTCAGATAGGGGGTTTCCATGGCAATGCTAAAACTGCAGACTTCTATTGGGGACACTGTAAAGGTGCTCAGCTCTCAAGTGAGACAGGGCTGCAATTTACTCTATCCGATTTCCTATCTTTCAGTAAGAAAAGCAAGTACAGTCTTGTACATTGTCTGATTTTGCTGGTTATGCTGATTGTGTGTTGTCATGCAGCCATGGCAGGTGTTTACAGTGACTGCACAGCCTCTATCATGCTCCACACCATCTTCTCTCGGCAAACAACAGCAGCAGCAGCGTAAGATACAGCACAAGCTGAAGTTCAGACTGACTAGATTGCTATTGCACACATGCATGCATGTGTACGTGAGACTGCGTGCTGACAGGTATATTTTCACCAAATTGAATATTCTCCCGCTACTGGGAACAAGTCCCAGACGAATGTTCCAACCAAGACTTCACCAGAAAGTCAATAATTCTATGTGTAAAAGCTGACTCTTGTTGCTACAGGTTGGGTGGGATGTGGTACAAGCTCAGGATCTTGTCCACATTTCACGCTGCTCCCTCCGTTGTGAATGAACAGTTTACCAGATATTTGGATCCTAACGTTAGGATTCATATTAGCCTACCAAGTTTGTATTGCATTGTGTTGTAGCATGTTTCGGCATGTCGGTGATCTTGCTGGTGCTTTTCTTGAAGCAACTGGATGAGTGTTTCATGACACACACACACACACACACACACACACACACACACACACACACACACACACACACACACACACACACACACGCGCGCGCGCGCGCGCGTGCACTGCACAGGCGGTGGTACAGCAGTTCCTACTCAGCTTAGTGGATCTGTTATACAATGTATCCTCGCCCAGGTCATACAGATAAGGATCACGGGTTCTTCCGATTTTGATTTTTGGGATGAATCACAGAGAATGTTGCGTTCTTCTGTGACCGGTCATGGAGAAGTTATACCTCAGTCACAGTTTGCGACCGCTAGCCTGGTATTGTGTGTGTGTGTGTGTGTGTGTGTGTGTGTGTGTGTGTGTGTGTGTGTGTGTGTGTGTGTGTGTGTGTGTGTGTGTGTGTGTGTGTGTGTGTGTGGTGTGTGCGCGCGCACACGCGCGTGTGTGTGTGTGTGTGTTTAGGTATGATGGTGCCAGCTAGTCCGGTTGGTGGGTACACTTATGCCTGATTGTGTTGGGTCTGTTGCCAACAGGCTCGACTGCTTGAAGGTGTATTGTTGTATCTGCCACCTTTGTTGGTTTCAGGTTACTTTCTATTTGAAGTATACATACCTGTTAACCATGGACTGCTTCTGGCTAGATTAACTCTTGTGCAATCAAGGATGCTAGTGACGCTTAGATCAGATCCACTCTGATTTAGCCACCCACACTAGTAGCAAGTATTACCTTCACTGGGGGCAGGGGTAACTGCAGTTGGATCCCAGGACGGATACCCTGATGCCGTCAATCCTTTTTCTGCACCTTGTCCTCACCCACTTACTGAGGTGTGGTGAGCCCATAAGTGGGATCATTTTCAAGTCCACCCAGAGATTTGGGGATTTCAGGGGGTGTCGGCCGTTGGGCGGTTCAATAGCCAGTTGAGTCATCTTTCCAAGATTCCTTTTGAGTCTCTCTCCCCTCTCCCGGGGAGACCCACGTGACCAGTTTTGGCAGTGAGCAACAAGTACAAGGTATGATGGTGGAGCCATGATTGGTCACTGAGTTTCTTCGTGTCTGCGTCTGTGTGTGTGTGTGCGTGTGTGTGTGTGTGCGTGTGTGTGTGTGTGTGTGTGTGTGTGTGTGTGTGTGTGTGTGTACCATAGTCATGTCGGCAGTGTTCACAACGCGTGTGGATGGCTATGAGCAGGAGCAACCTGTCCACATGATGTAAGTACAACCTGTCCACATGATGTAAGTACATGTTTGATTCCCTGGGGTGGTACAGTCCATTGCATTGCAGTCGAATAAAGGAAGTCAAGGACAAACATTAATAAGCTGCACCTACTGTCTCGCACCAACCACCAACAGTACATAACACCAACAGTACATAACACCAACAGTACATAACACCAACAGTACATAACACCAACAGTACATAACACCAACAGTACATAACACCAACAGTACATAACACCAACAGTACATAACACCAACAGTACATAACACCAACAGTACATAACACCAACAGTACATAACACCAACAGTACATAACACCAACAGTACATAACTCTCAAGAGTACATAACGTACACGTCTCCAATATTAGTACATCTCCAATTATAGAACATGTTGAGTGACGAGTTGGGAATGCAATAAATTGTTGAGTGTGGATCAAAAATATAAAAGGACACGTCTCTGATAATAGTACATGCCGGAATGATGTGATGGGCATTACTGGGGTACAGGTACCAGGGTCCACCTTACTTCGTTTTTCTTACCCGTTCATCATCTTTGTGTCTTTGTACACTGATTCTTACCATGATTGGGTGTATTTACAGCCTTACAGCATCGTTATCACGAGTTGATTGCCACCCAACCCAGGCAATCAATCTTTCCAGAAACAATAAAAGTACATGTCTCCAATACTAGTACAGTCTCCTATAGTAGTACAGGTCTGACCACCTTTGAAAAAATAAAAGTACTGTACATTTAATGGGGAAAGTATGGTAGCTCAAGAGTACATACTGGTACTAGTAACTCGCAAGATTGTGCACCTTCTGATTTGTTGCTGCCACAGCATGTTTTCAGGATCGTGTCACCTTCCATATTGTAGCCAGTGCTATGCCAGTGCTATGCCAGTGCTATGCCAGTGCTATGTGTTGTATGCGAGATACATGTATAAGGGCACAGTGCAGTGTTGTGGACAGTCAAGTGGATCATGTCATGACACAGGCTGTGGGTCTCAGGAGGAGAAGTTTTGAAGCTTTTTACCATTTCATCTATGTAGACGGCCTGACCCATTTTTTACAAGATTGCATAATTCTAAGAGCAAGTTGCGTCAGAACTACTCAGAAGTTTTTGTAGATGTATGTACTACAGTGTACTGTATTGCTCGCATGCGCCGCCTCGTACAGCTACGAATAAGAATTTCTCTATTTGAAATCTGCAGAACCCGTCAAATCTGCAGAACCGGTCAAATCTGCAGAACCCAGAACCGGTCTGTTTTGTTGCCTTTGGACTATGGATCAGCCTGTTATCACCTCAAATACATGTGTGTGTGTGTGTGTGTGTGTGTGTGTGTGTGTGTGTGTGTGTGTGTGTGTGTGTGTGTGTGTGTGTGTGTGTGTGTGTGTGTGTGTGTGTGTGTGTGTGTGTGTGTTATGTGCATGTGTGTTCTTATAGGGTTGACGTTGCTCAGAACAGTACCCTGGTGTATGATATATTCCTACAGGTTAGTGAGTGCTGATGTTGATGGCAGTCATGGTAGTCATGGCAGCCATGGTAGTCATGGCAGTCATGGCAGCCATGGCAGTGTTAGAACAGTACAAGTCTCTCGGGTAGAGACTGCCGCAGGACACCAGTTGATAGACTCATTCTCGTTTATGCTAAAGAGTAAGATCAGGTGTGAGGTAGGCATACGGTCTGGGCAGCAATGGCAAAGTGGGGGGGGGGGGGGGGGGGCATGTATGAAGCTACTACCCAGGCCAATGGGGACATGTGCTAAAATACGAGAATGCAGGCTTGGACAGGGAGACACAGGAAGCTATGACCTATGGTCACGGGGCATTGTGTGTGTGTGTGTGTGTGTGTGTGTGTGTGTGTGTGTGTGTGTGTGTGTGTGTGTGTGTACGTGCATGCATGTGTGTATCCGTATGTGTACGTGCATGGGTGTGCACAGTCGTTGGTGAAGGAAGGAGACGACCCAGTTCAACTGATGATCGTATCTCAACATCCTTGTTCATGGCAGGTAAGTTGTGATGTTCTATTTTACATCAGGTAAGGATGCTGACTAGGCCTCGGTCTCCCCCTTGGTGGCCAGCAGCAGCACATGAGTATCATATTAGCATCATATGACCAGGTGCGTAGCTCGCACATGGCATGGGGGGGGGGGGGGGGGCACGTACATCCCCCTAAAAATGTCGACCTAGGTTCAGCATGCACGTAATGACCATGAATGCCATGCACCAGCAATCCTACACATATGCGGCCGTGCACCCCCCCCCCCCCCCCCCCCTCCTAAAAGGGGGACCAGCTATGCCCCTGTATGACCATCACATGAACATCATGCTAACATCATGACCATCACATGACCATCCCATAAACACCACATGCATATCAATATGTGGAAACTGTACTGAAACTTGAATGGTGTTATAAAAACATGTGCATTGATTTTTGATTTCCGTGTTGTTGCTTTCTTCTCATCAGATCTCTACCAGTTTGAATATAGAGCAATCCATTGTCCAGGTTAGTGCCAGGCAACAGGAGCACCGCTCTGTTTATGACCTGATGCATAGAGATGCATAGAGATGCATAGAGATACTGTACATAGAGATACATAGAGATAGAGATACATGGAGATACATGGAAATGCATAGAGATGGAGACATTTTCATCTGTCCTACTGTGATGTTCAGTTGTTAATAACTCCGGTTAAATGAGCCAGGGGGTTAGAAGGTATACAGAAATGAACTACAATATAGGGATTCATAGTGAGAACTTGGAAATTGTGTAGGTAGGCACCTCTTTTGTCAGTTGTGTTTCTGTTGATGATGTTCATAGTTTGAGTACTCGGTGATATAAACTTAACCTGGCTTCTGCATAAGGTGCAGCTCTGTGTGTTGCAGCTCTGTGTGTTGCTGCTCTGTGTGTTGCTGCAACCACTGCTGCTGCTCGAGCGCTTTATAGAACCGCCATCCAACACAGTGAGGATCTCACATTACTGCACTCATCACAAAAGTGGCAAACAGGTTTTGAACTACCACCCTTGCGCCACTGCAGACACTGCAGACAGTCTCGTCTTATATGCTCGGGCTAGACACTGAGCTGATTTCTTTTCCTGTGGTTCCTGACTACCCACGGAAGTAAAACTGTGGTTCCTGTCTACCCACGAAAGTAAAACTGTGGTTCCTGACTACCCACGGAAGTAAAACTGTGGTTCCTGACTACCCACGGAAGTAAAACTGTGGTTCCTGACTACCCACGGAAGTAAAACTGTGGTTCCTGACTACCCACGGAAGTAAAACTGTGGTTCCTGACTACTTTTTGAAGAAACAGCCTCTTTTACGGGCAAAAGCAACACAATGATGAGAAACCCGGGTATGCTAGGAAGATAATATTAATAATAGTACACAGGTGTGGAAAATATGTCTCTGGAATGGCGAGAGTCACACTAAAACACAAATGGTTTTAGATCCGGCTTTCAACCACCGCCAGCTCCCTGAGCTCGCTAGCTGGACGATGGTATGCCGACCGAGACCCACGGACACACATGACAGCGGACCGGAGCAGCGCGAAAGACAGCCTGCAGCGCACATATGCAACATGGTGTGCATAGGGCATGCTGGAATCAGCCCTGGCAAGCAAGCCACAGAGGCACTTAAGGAACCTTTCACATTCAGGGGAGGCAACACCAGAAGTTGACAACACCAGCGGGCTGAATGTGCCACGATCCACATTGAGGATTCGCTCTCCGTACTGCAGCTTCTTCTGGCGCTCGTGCTGAAGCAGTAGGGCATCCAGTGGTTGGGCCGAGTAGGATGCCGCATCAGGATGGAAGACGCGTACGTCAAAGAAAGCATCCTGTGCTCGGGTCCAGAAGCCACGGACACGGACATCAGCGCAAGCATCCTCGGCGGTGTTTGCCGATGCAGCCGTAAACACCTCTGCAGGGAGCGGGGCTAGCTGAGGCTCGATTGCCACTGCGTGGCAGACCTCCGTGAGTAGCTCCCCTACCATGTCACGGACTTCGTTATGGCGGATTGTAGGGAAGCCACCCCGGGGGCAACACATGGCATGAGCAGTGGAGAACAGAACTCCACAGGCACACTTCGTGGGGACATCGAGGAGAGGCCAGTCATACCGCAATGCAAGGCCGTCCCTGAACTCCTGCTTCGAGAGGTGGAACCCATGTTCCTTGAGAGGAAGAGCAGTGAGCCAGGAAGAGGGGCCTTTGCGGGACAGCTCATCCATACGACGGGCCAAGGGGCGGTCCGCAGCTTCTCGGAGAGCAGCGAAAGAGGCAGCACTAGCTTTCTTGGAGGACTTGGTAGCAGATGCTCTCTCACGGCGGGCTAGCTGATCCACAAAGTCGCAGGAATGATGCTGCCACTCTCGATCGTGCTGGTGGATGATCTCGTCAACCTGGCTGCTCGTTGATGACTTGGGAAGCCTGCAGGTGGGAGGTAGCGATTTCTTTGAAGTACTTGTATGGCAAACCGATTCCACCGAGCCGGCAAGGTAGACGTAGAAGAGAGAGGTCATCCGCCGTGAATGTGCGTTTCCCTGTCAGAGCCGGAAGGAAGTGCTCCGCGACCGTGTCATCCAGGCGCTGCAGCTGTTCAGCTGAGAACTCCAGTGTACGAAGGAGATATGTCCATCGACCACGCAATCCGTGTGTGAGGGTGGCATACGCCGCATGAGGTTCGGTAGTGGCAATCTCGGACTGTCACATAAGCTCCTGCTGCCAGTCTTGTACTTTCCCAGCTGTATAGCCAGCGATGAAATCCGGTGTCCCTATAGCGGCACCCAGGTAGCGTGCTCCATCCGTGACCACTTCAATGCCAGTTCCTGCAAAGACACTGTGGGCCAGGTTGAGCAGGTCGGGCTTGACGAGGAGGAGAGTCTTGCGAGGCGTTGACATGGTAACCGTAAGGTTTCCCGGTCTCGTCCACATCATCCCACCAGCGTCGAAGGGCCCGTAGCTTGCCTGCACCACTTGAATCATCGGCATACCACAATTGACGGATGTTGGCGTGGGTAGTGCGGAGGTGCCGTACGAATGGTAATGTAGCGAGGGCATAGAAAACCATCGACAGAGGGTCACCTTGTGTGGTACCCTCTGCGGAGGAAAGCTCACCACCGCCAGAAACGAAGAGGCGGGCATCATCTTGGTAGCAGTTCAGCAGTGTGGTAGCCAGGGAAGGACACAAGTGGCGAACATTGTGAAGAGCTGCTTGGCGGTTCAGGCAATTGAAGGCATTCTTCGCGTCAACTAGTAGACTACCCACGGAAGTAAAACTGTGGTTCCTGACTACCCACGGAAGTAAAACTGTGGTTCTTGACTACCCACGAAAGTAAAACTGTGGTTCCTGACTACCCACGGAAGTAAAACTGTGGTTCCTGACTACCCATGGAAGTAAAACTGTGGTTCCTGACTACCCACGAAAGTAAAACTGTGGTTCCTGACTACCCACGAAAGTAAAACTGTGGTTCCTGACTACCCACGGAAGTAAAACTGTGGTTCCTGGCTACCCACGGAAGTAAAACTGTGGTTCCTGACTACCCACGGAAGTAAAACTCCTACAAGGACTCTGGTGTTCTTTCTCACACCGCCTCAAAGATGTGACCCGATAAACCAGAGTCGACAACATGAACTCATCACTTGTTAAATTCCGAAACTCACCTACTTCGCAACCTTACCCTTCAGTCCACTAATACACTGTTACACTAATACACTAATACACTGAGAACACTGCACATGGCCACTGGCATTTTCAGTATTCCCGCCACACTAGTGCGCACAGGCGTTTGACGTCATCTGGAAAAGCATCGACAGACTCATCTGGCCGCAAACGGCGCATCGTAAACAGTGTGTAAGCATGCGATGCTGACGCTGAAGAGACTTCCTGTAGCTCTGTCTTCATATTACTACCCTCAGCCTAGTACAATATTGCCTTTGCAATGGTCAGTGGTCGGCAAACATTACAGAACAAGGGAACAGAAAGGAGAGACAGCACAGTTACGGCTGAAGTAGAGAGGTAGCATTAGCTTGCATCGCTATCATTGTTGCTGCCACCACTGCTCCTGCCGCTGCTGCCGCTGCTGCCGCTGCTGCCGCTGTGTGTATTTTGATCAGTACGCCCTTTCTAGTACCCCTCCCGTATGCGAAGCAGAGTTGAAATGTGCACTGTATGCATGTGGTGACAGGTCTGTTATATGCACGACAGGGACATTAGATGACCCCATCGTTTCTCTCTCTCTCGTCTCTTGTGTCTATCGTGTCTCTCCAGTTTTTCCGTAACTACCTGACTAGCACACTACCTGTGCTGAAATTGACAATGCTGCTTGTCGACTCACCAGTACTTGGTGTAGGGTGTGCGTCAGTGCTCGGAGTTTTGCTGCACTTCTACAGGTGATACATGTAGTATTTATCTTAATTTATTAGAAAATGGAAAAAGTGAAAGTGTGCAAAGCAAATAGAGCTATGAACAGTATCAAATACACACATGTAAGCGAGGCTGGTCTAGTGTTTCCAAGAACGTGCTCTTGTGACATTCATCAGTTGCTTGGAATACATCACAATCAATAATCAAGGAAGAAGAGCAGAATATGTGCAAAGAAAGTGAGCAATTTCCAAATACAGTACAAACGATGAATGTCATAAGAAAACGTTCTTGAAAACACTAGACCAGCCTCGCTTACATGTGTGTTTTTGATACTGTTCAGGGCATAGATTAACGGCCGGACATCGGACATTTTCTTGCCATTTTCGGCCACTGACTGGACGTTTTCAATTTCACCGGACATAGTGTCCGGTCAAAAAGTAAAAAAAAGAGCAGCGACCTTTCGACCTTTTTATGCAGAGTTGGGCTTTCTTCGGAGCTTCGTGCCAAATGCGACTTGCATATCGTACAACTAACACGTACACCGTAGTCTCAGGCGTGAGATGAGCGGTGCACTTGACCTGGAAGACTGGGATGCCTTCTTCGCCGAGTAGGAATATCAGCTGCAACTGAATTCTTGACTGCAACGCTTTCTTGTACATATATTTGTCGTCAGTAAATAGTTCAGTTTCTAATACAAATAAATTGGTGAATTGTACATAGTAATGTGTGAGATACGTCCACATAATGAGTCATTGTGAATATACTTCAGTACTACTAAAAAAAAAGAAGAAACACCCTGAACATGTGTTGTGGAAAATGTCCGGGCATGTCCGGACAGATTTCAAAACGGAAGGACATTTGTCCGAGCTAAATGAAATCCTTAAGCTATGCCCTGCTGTTTATAGCTCTATTCAAATTATAGTCTCCATGCCAATTATCGGTGCAAAGGGAGTGTGGAAATGATAGATTCTGTACAAATGATACACAAGCATGTAAATCAATTATTGCACATCAAAAGGTTTACTAGTGCAATCGAACCGATACTTTGCGATGTAATAATATTTATGTAAATGATGCTTGAATTCAGCGAGGGAATCTAAAGTTGTGAACCGGGGAGGGAGACAATTCCAAAGTGCACTAGTTTCTTCTTCCCCGAGTTTCCCCGAATATAAGTCGCACCTTTTTAAAGTGAACTTCAAGAGAGGAAGAAGCAAAGGGTGTGAAGAAGCGGGTGTGAAGAAGCGGGTGTGAAGAAGCGGGTGTGACTTACAATCGAGCGTCACTTCCTAGTGATGTGAATAATTATATTGAAACAATTATGGCTCAGGAGAATGAAGTTGAAGACACCACTGTAGCTGTACTTATGGCTGATTAATATGGTGGTAATCACACACCTGGTAATATGGTGGTAATCACACACCTGGTAATATGGTGGTAATCACACACCTGGTAATATGGTGGTAATCACACACCTGGTAATATGGTGGTAATCACACACCTGGTAATATGGTGGTAATCACACACCTGGTAATATGGTGGTAATCACACACCTGGTAATATGGTGGTAATCACACACCTGGTAATATGGTGGTAATCACACACCTGGTAATATGGTGGTAATCACACACCTGGTAATATGGTGGTAATCACACACCTGGTAATATGGTGGTAATCACACACCTGGTAATATGGTGGTAATCACACACCTGGTAATATGGTGGTAATCACACACCTGGTAATATGGTGGTAATCACACACCTGGTAATATGGTGGTAATCACACACCTGGTAATATGGTGGTAATCACACACCTGGTAATATGGCGGTAATCACACACCTGGTAATATGGTGGTAATCACACACCTGGTAATATGGTGGTAATCACACACCTGGTAATATGGCGGTAATCACACACCTGGTAATATGGCGGTAATCACACACCTGGTAATATGGCGGTAATCACACACCTGGTAATATGGTGGTAATCACACACCTGGTAATATGGCGGTAATCACACACCTGGTAATATGGTGGTAATCACACACCTGGTAATATGGTGGTAATCACACACCTGGTAATATGGTGGTAATCACACACCTGGTAATATGGTGGTAATCACACACCTGGTAATATGGTGGTAATCACACACCTGGTAATATGGTGGTAATCACACACCTGGTAATATGGTGGTAATCACACACCTGGTAATATGGTGGTAATCACACACCTGGTAATATGGTGGTAATCACACACCTGGTAATATGGTGGTAATCACACACCTGGTAATATGGTGGTAATCACACACCTGGTAATATGGTGGTAATCACACACCTGGTAATATGGTGGTAATCACACACCTGGTAATATGGCGGTAATCACACACCTGGTAATATGGTGGTAATCACACACCTGGTAATATGGTGGTAATCACACACCTGGTAATATGGTGGTAATCACACACCTGGTAATATGGTGGTAATCACACACCTGGTAATATGGTGGTAATCACACACCTGGTAATATGGTGGTAATCACACACCTGGTAATATGGTGGTAATCACACACCTGGTAATATGGTGGTAATCACACACCTGGTAATATGGTGGTAATCACACACCTGGTAATATGGTGGTAATCACACACCTGGTAATATGGTGGTAATCACACACCTGGTAATATGGTGGTAATCACACACCTGGTAATATGGTGGTAATCACACACCTGGTAATATGGTGGTAATCACACACCTGGTAATATGGTGGTAATCACACACCTGGTAATATGGTGGTAATCACACACCTGGTAATATGGTGGTAATCACACACCTGGTAATATGGCGGTAATCACACACCTGGTAATATGGTGGTAATCACACACCTGGTAATATGGTGGTAATCACACACCTGGTAATATGGCGGTAATCACACACCTGGTAATATGGCGGTAATCACACACCTGGTAATATGGCGGTAATCACACACCTGGTAATATGGTGGTAATCACACACCTGGTAATATGGCGGTAATCACACACCTGGTAATATGGTGGTAATCACACACCTGGTAATATGGTGGTAATCACACACCTGGTAATATGGTGGTAATCACACACCTGGTAATATGGTGGTAATCACACACCTGGTAATATGGTGGTAATCACACACCTGGTAATATGGTGGTAATCACACACCTGGTAATATGGTGGTAATCACACACCTGGTAATATGGTGGTAATCACACACCTGGTAATATGGTGGTAATCACACACCTGGTAATATGGTGGTAATCACACACCTGGTAATATGGTGGTAATCACACACCTGGTAATATGGTGGTAATCACACACCTGGTAATATGGCGGTAATCACACACCTGGTAATATGGTGGTAATCACACACCTGGTAATATGGTGGTAATCACACACCTGGTAATATGGCGGTAATCACACACCTGGTAATATGGCGGTAATCACACACCTGGTAATATGGCGGTAATCACACACCTGGTAATATGGTGGTAATCACACACCTGGTAATATGGCGGTAATCACACACCTGGTAATATGGTGGTAATCACACACCTGGTAATATGGCGGTAATCACACACCTGGTAATATGGCGGTAATCACACACCTGGTAATATGGTGGTAATCACACACCTGGTAATATGGCGGTAATCACACACCTGGTAATATGGCGGTAATCACACACCTGGTAATATGGCGGTAATCACACACCTGGTAATATGGCGGTAATCACACACCTGGTAATATGGCGGTAATCACACACCTGGTAATATGGTGGTAATCACACACCTGGTAATATGGCGGTAATCACACACCTGGTAATATGGTGGTAATCACACACCTGGTAATATGGTGGTAATCACACACCTGGTAATATGGTGGTAATCACACACCTGGTAATATGGTGGTAATCACACACCTGGTAATATGGTGGTAATCACACACCTGGTAATATGGTGGTAATCACACACCTGGTAATATGGTGGTAATCACACACCTGGTAATATGGTGGTAATCACACACCTGGTAATATGGTGGTAATCACACACCTGGTAATATGGTGGTAATCACACACCTGGTAATATGGTGGTAATCACACACCTGGTAATATGGCGGTAATCACACACCTGGTAATATGGTGGTAATCACACACCTGGTAATATGGTGGTAATCACACACCTGGTAATATGGCGGTAATCACACACCTGGTAATATGGCGGTAATCACACACCTGGTAATATGGCGGTAATCACACACCTGGTAATATGGTGGTAATCACACACCTGGTAATATGGCGGTAATCACACACCTGGTAATATGGTGGTAATCACACACCTGGTAATATGGTGGTAATCACACACCTGGTAATATGGCGGTAATCACACACCTGGTAATATGGTGGTAATCACACACCTGGTAATATGGCGGTAATCACACACCTGGTAATATGGCGGTAATCACACACCTGGTAATATGGCGGTAATCACACACCTGGTAATATGGCGGTAATCACACACCTGGTAATATGGCGGTAATCACACACCTGGTAATATGGTGGTAATCACACACCTGGTAATATGGCGGTAATCACACACCTGGTAATATGGCGGTAATCACACACCTGGTAATATGGTGGTAATCACACACCTGGTAATATGGTGGTAATCACACACCTGGTAATATGGTGGTAATCACACACCTGGTAATATGGCGGTAATCACACACCTGGTAATATGGTGGTAATCACACACCTGGTAATATGGTGGTAATCACACACCTGGTAATATGGCGGTAATCACACACCTGGTAATATGGCGGTAATCACACACCTGGTAATATGGCGGTAATCACACACCTGGTAATATGGTGGTAATCACACACCTGGTAATATGGTGGTAATCACACACCTGGTAATATGGTGGTAATCACACACCTGGTAATATGGTGGTAATCACACACCTGGTAATATGGTGGTAATCACACACCTGGTAATATGGCGGTAA